CACGTTCCTAACAAAACAAGGCTAATTAATTAATTACCACTCATCATATATACCACCATCCTCCTTAAATTTCCAAACCCTATGCACATTCACATCTCACTTCAACTCTCAACTTTCCGTTTCCACTCCTGGAATTCTCTCTCTCTCTCTCTCTCTATATACACACACACGTACATACATACAGGTGTATATATATATATCGCGTCCTTATCCCTTTCACGTCCTTACAAGTTACAATCCCACTCCCTGCTCTGTGGCGCGTGGCGCCACCTTCCCTCGCCGTTTTTCTTTTCCATGGGCTGGGCTGGTATATATAATATATGCGCCCGGATGAGAAAATATTTTTCAAATTTAGAAGTTGCTCACAAGAGCATTACTCTCTTCCTATTTATAAATTATTTATAGGAAAAAATTTATCCCTAAATTTAAGTCACTTGGGGATAGTTAATGATTTTTTTCCCAGCTTTACCCTGATTGATTTGAATAGGTGAGAAAAGATATAAAACACATTTTTCTGATTTTAAATGTAACACATATTTTGTAGCGTATACTACAAAATAGATACTTTTCCGATCCTAAATATAAGACCTTTATACATACCGCTCCTAAATATAAGAACCTTATAGGACCGGAGAAGTATTACATTTACAACTAAAAAGAGTATTTTTTTAATGCCATTTCTTTGATAAAGATAAAAGTTTTAAAAAAATCAATGTAGTATATTTTTTATTTGCGAGATTAAGAGATAAATGACTTATAAACGGAACTGCTCTAAAATGGTTGAAAATCTCAAACAGATATGGAAATATTTTTCGAATTTAGAAATTGCTCTCGGGGAGGGGAATATAAATGGTTGGGAATCTCTTCACGTTGGGAATATGAATCACGATGAAGGGAAGTGAAATATAATTGGCAACAGTGGCAAGGACGAAAGTGAATCATTTCGTACTTCACAAGAATATTGATCACGTGCCTTTAATTATTATGAACAATATCTTTAAACTTCGGGTAATACATTGGAAAAAAAAAATACCAGGTGAGGTAACAATAGAAACACAAAAAGTCACCGCGCACGGAGATCGATCATGACTGAAGTTGAATACGTTAACTTTCCCATGCATTTTATATTATATACTCCTCCTGTCCTTATTATAAGACTTCATTTGACTTTTTATTTGATCCTAATTATAAGACCCCAATCCATTTTGTCTCTTATATTTATACATTTTTTTCAAGATAATCCTTCTAATAATGATAGTTTTAGCCAATATATTTAATTAGCAAGATATTTTAGGAATGACAACACTTATTTATTATAAATAACCAACTTAACTTACTTCCTTAATCTCCTCAAATAAGTCAATTGGGTCTTATAATTAGGACCGGAGGAGTATTACTTGAAATTTGATAAATAAATCGCGTTGCCAGTTCCGGTCCTATTTATAAGATTTTATTTATAATCAATAAATAATGTTTTGTAAATAGAACCGGCAGTATTATATATGGTTTTGTGCATAGTGTTACTTCCAGTTTATATCATTTCATATGTTAGCAGGTCTACAAGCATGCTTGATTTTATAATTTTGGTGGTTTTGGCATAAAACCAAAAGCATGATATATTGATATGCTTTATCCTGTCAGTCCTTATTGTAAAATGCTTTTCGAAAGAAATACGTGATGTTTATTATAAGTCACTAAATAGGTTTACTTTTAAACATTATTCTTATTTAAAATTTTATTAGTAACAATTTCTATAACTTTTCAAATGTACTACCTCTGGTTCTAATTATAAGAGCCAGTTGACTAGTTTGAAGAGATTAAGGAAGTAAGTTGAGTTAGTTATTTGTTTTAAATAGGTGTTGTCTTTTCTAAAATATCATTACTAATCAAGTGTTTGTTTTAATGTGACAGACGTGAATTCACATCTGGTTTGACAAAACCAAACGTGAATTCACGTTTGTTTTTGCACAAACAGATAAAACAGACACAGATAATACCATTATTCACTTCTGTTCAAAACAGAAGTAAAAAGGGGTACTTTTATGTCCCTTCTTTTCATGTTCCCCCGCAAAACAGAAGTAAAAAGTCATGCAAAACAGAGTAAAAAGTCTTCCTTGTAGTAGTGTGTATTGACTAGAATGTTATTGTTAGAAGGGCTACTTTGAAAAAGATGTATAAATATGAGAGACAAAGTGGATTGGGATCTTATATTTAGGATCAAAATAAAAGTCAAACAGAGTCTTATATTAAGTACCGGGGGTAGTAATTCATAACATTACATTTGAGTAAATTTTAAAGTTTATTTCATCTTCAGACAAAGTCAATAATTTAACCATCTCTCTTTTATTTTGATGATGCAGTTAGAAGTATCTTATGTACAACATAGCATGATTCAATAACTTGATAAGCGAGAAACGATATTCTATGACTAATCCTTAATCACATGAGGTGTGGGGAGGATTACAACGGGATGATGAGATAAGGAGAGATCGCGTGAGTGAGGTCAAAGATTGAAGAGGTGGGTGCTAAAAGGGGCAACCTGAGTTGGAAGTCTCAATATCTGCCTTCCCAAAAGAGGAAAGCCCAGCAGAGAGGCAATGGGATTAGGGGGTTAAAGCGCAAAGCTCCATGATCACTTTGTAAATTAGCGGCCAGAAAATTAGGATGAGGTCGGCTTTGTGCTTAAAATCTGTGAACCCTCCCATGTGAAGCATAAGATATCAAACACAGATATCTTTTCATTAAACAGATACTTTCATCTTTCTTTTTATTTGTTTTCGAGTCCTCAATCCCCTTCCATACCATCACTATATTGTGTACGTCTTGCGAGGGCAGAACAATTATAAGCTTTAGGTACGCTTTTCAATTATGTGTATAAATCGCTGTTTACACAAATATTAACAAGTTTGAAACAAGATTGGGACTTGCCACGAAGAGATTGAGTTTTAAAACGTGCACCAGATTTCTTTGTCTGTCACTGCATGTCAATGCTCATCCACTATTATCGTTCGGCATAAAAATCTAAAGTGTCTAGAATCCTCTAATTTGTCCTATTAGAGATTAATGAGTACAGTAATATCTAATTTGTCCTGTGACCTCGCGTGGGTCATTCCTTATCCTCTTCTATAGTAATGGGCCTCGTTAGGCATAAAAATCTCAAATGTCTGGAATAATCTAACCTATTCTACTTTTATTTTCATTTACCAAAAAAAAAGAAAAGAAGAGGAAAGAAGGAGAAATACATCGAACATCCTGCATGGGGAGGGAGAAAGCCAGTTTTTTGAAAAGCGTAATTTCAACGGAGAAAACATAAATAGTAAAATAATGATAAATAATTTTATGACAAGATAGTATTTTAACAAATTGAATGCTTTTCCGTTGAAACCCTGCAAAACGCTGTCACAGTGAAGCAGGATACGATTGGCCTCAACGGTGACAAAAGGGAGATTGGATTAACTTTTTTAAAATAATTTTATTAGATATAAGGTAAGTATATTAAAAAAATTGTCGGTGCTTTTTGAAAGTTATTATAGAGGCTTCATGTGCTTGGCCATGAGATGTGGGAAGTGAGGAAAGTCAGAAGCAGCGATAGTTTATCCTTGAGTATCTTGTCTTTAGAGTCAGTTCCTGCTTTCAAGCGGAACCAGGCAATGCCTTGCACTTGATTAGGCCTCCGTCAGAGCTTAACGTAGTCCATCCTCTGCTCTCACGGCTTCATTAAAACTCCCGTTTTGAAGGCAACGTGCAAAAGATTTAGAGCCTGTTTGGCAAAATCCATAAAAGTGTTTTTCCGACCCAAACCATTATTTGGGCCAACAATTTGCCAAACAGCGGAGAAAATGATTAAACTATTGTTTGGGTCAAAATCAAGGTTTTGAAACCTAAATCCATGATTTCCAAAGAAGCAAAATAAATTCGCTTCTGGGCCAAAAATTGAGGACTATCGGTGATAGTTATGCTGTCAGAGAACATATATGACAAAAAACACCCCTACAATTCAATTATGCAATCCTTCTGCCTTCGGTCCTTCAGAAACAATTCGGCCTGCGCTCCTCCTGAGACACAAACGATTCGGCCTTCTATCCTTCGGAAACAATTTGGCCTTCTGCCTTAATTATTCAGCTTCTCAAAAAATATTTTTGCTCTTATATTTCATAAATATATATACACACACAGAGTAACAACTAATTAATTATATTAAAGATTAGAGATAATATGTTATTATAAAAACTAATTGTGAATAAATATTATGAGATTTCATGTTTAAAATCTTTTAAGCAAAATAATATTTTTCTGTTAGTAAAAAAAATCATTTTTCTATAAAAATATTTAATCTTATATTTAATAAATATATATACACATATTAATTATTTATTAATAACATTTTCTTATATATTATTTATTACGAAAGGCAAAAAAATATATTATTAACAAATTTATCATTTTAAATTAAAATATATTATAAAATCTATTTCTTATGTAATTATCATATTAACTTGTATCTTTTTTAGTAATTTACATATATAAAAAATATTTCTGATAACAACTATCGAAACACTCATTTTATCACAATCACTTTTTCACAAAATCTATTCTCAAAAATAACTTTTTTTCTAAAAATTATTCTCCAAATCATAGTTTAATTTTATCCAAACACTTTTTAATTAAAACCTTTTGTTCTTTTCAAGGGAGGGAAAAAGAACAACAATTCATAGACCTTCACATTTTCAGTAACAAAAATGAATGGAAAATATCCAAACACTCACATTATCACAATCACTTTTTCACAAAATCTATTCTCAAAAATAACTATTTTTCTAGAAACTATTCTCCAAACCATAGTTTAGTTTTATCCAAACATCTTTTTAATTAAAAACCTTTAGTTCTTTTCAAGGAAGGGAAAAAGAACAACAACTCATAGACCTTCACATTTTCAGTCACAAAAATGAATGGAAACTCGAATTCAAAATCCTATACAATTTTACAATCTTTGTAATGTATCCTGAAAACGAAAGTTATCCTTGCATTAGAAAGGCCAAAAAGGCAATATTGGGCTTATAAAACCCCAAGTTTTAGTCGCTAAATTACAAAGAAATGGTACTCGATTCTCTCCAAAACATGATCATATATATTTGGCTGTTAACAGAAATCAAAATTTCCACAAAGATATTCTCGAAAGTTGCAACAGAATGACTAGTAGATAGCAATACCTCAACACAGAAATATTCACTGACTGTCGAGCTGACAAAATGACCACACACAAGCCTTCTGCCACAGGAGACTGCAACAGAGTGTTCCAGTTACAGCTAAAAAGTATTAGCTAATATAAGGAATCATACACAAACCCAACTTACACAGAAGAGGAGGTAAACTCTAACAAACATCTGGCTATTACAACATTCACTAAAAAAGGGAAGCATCCTCTTCGAGAACCACCAAATTTGCATGGAATGACGAGACAACCACCAAAATTTTTTAACAGCTTCATGCCTAGAAAATGGAACAGGTAGATTAGTCATCGCATGGGATGTATCAGACATAGTACACACTCTATAGGGGGTTAAATTATTCAAAGATAGCAGGACAGATGCAATAAGCTCCACAAACATAACATTTCGCCTAAAAACTCAGTGACAAGCCTACAACGCTGTTCCAAAACCGACTTTCCTTACAGAAATTGCATTAGAAAAGCAGAAGAGAAAGCAAATACTTCTACCTCGTTCAGAGTCTAGAAGATCCCACAAAATTACCCAATTTTCTACCTCATTTTATTTATGTTGTCACATCACTTTCAAACTAAATTACGGGTCACTCCCGATTGGTTTATTCTCTTGTTCCCATTTCTTTGTCGATTTGGTTATATCTGAAGAGTCCTGCTATTTTGAAATATTTGGGGTGCTCACTCAAGAAATGACAACTCTTTCTAAATTTGAGGCATCAAATATTAAATTTTAACTTCATATCTGGATGATAGGGGGACAAAAAAGGAATTAGGTCATCTGCTTAACTCAATTCCTATTTCCGAATCCCGCCATTAGTACCCAATCATGGTGGTTCCCTTCCGATCCTATATCAGTGGCACCAATCCCCCTCCTCCAAATTTTCAAGTCATAAATCTTACTTTAGCACTAACCATGCCCAAAATCTTTCTCTAATAACAACTTCAAGGAACTTGGTTTCACTTTAAAAATTGCAGGAAAAAACCAATATTATTAATACCAACTTGGTCATTAGCTCATAAAGGCAGTAATTCAAGAACCAATGGTCCAATCATAATTGAACTAGTTATAATTAAATTAATGTCTCTACTTTTATATTGATTACTTCAGATTAAAAATAAAAGAAAATTTTAGATTAATCAGAACCAATGGAATTTTTTTAAAAAAATTCAGTACTAAGAAAATACAAGTTAAAAAAGGTTCAACCTTTTTTTTTATTTTTAAAATGACATCTGCTTGTCTCAATATTACTTGCATGAAGTTACTGATCAACAGGAGAAGAATATTTCATGATTTAATGAAAAACATTAAAATAATAAAGCTTATACAATGTCCTTTCAACAATACATGTTCCTAGAGAAAGTAAAAATCTCAGCCAACAAAATTTGGTCATAATAATAAACTTTGTAAAGAAATTTTCTTTGTCCCTTTTGCTTATTACCCACAATCTGATGTAAGGGACCTAAATCTTCAGCATTTGAAATATCCAGATCTATTTTGGAAGAACATCCATCTTCCCCTGGTGCTACTCAAAAGATCTTCTCCTACTTACTCAAATCTTCTTCCCCCACTTCCAAGTTCAAATTCCATTTTTATTTGATGTCTGTGCAAGACAGTTGAACCATCAATTTTCAACCGTTCTTAACTTTTGCTTCCTTTTTTTTTTTTCCTCCCATCATTCCTTACTGGACCGGGGACCACTTTGCTAAATTTTTTATCAAACTAGACTGTTCAATCCAGATTTCAAAACACTGTAAAAATATTGATGCACTAGAGAGAGAACGGAAAAGAGCAAATATTCCTAACTGTCTAGAAACAGCCATAAAAGCTCCCCAATTTCTGCATATACTCTTCCTCTCACGTTCCCCCTGAATATCCCAATCCAAACCAACTTGGCCCAGAAACTTGTAGCCGCACCAAATAGCCAAACACCTGTACCTAATCCCCTAGATTATTCTCCAGAAGATTTCTACTGCCCATGCTCATTCTAAATTTTCCCAAACCAAGGGACCCATTTATGCCCAGCAACTCATGTCTTCTCATGCCAAAAACCAAGATAACTACAGCTTGTCTCTAACACCATACCACAACCATGCAAAGTCTGAATTGTGCTAAAACCTTGTTACTTACCTTGTTCGCAATGTTGTTGGAAAGCCAGTCCAAACCCTCATAGAGACCCTCTCCAGAAGTTGCACAAGTACTCTGGATGTACCTGAAACAGATTAAACCAAATAACGTCATGTATCTTTCTTTGGGAAGTTCACTCTCCGTAAGTTGCACAACTAAAATACCAAAAGTAGCAAAATTATAAGAAATGCACTTGCAACCCATCCCACAGAAAGCATATTTCATAGGTTACTTCAAAAGTTAATATCATCTAACCAGTGGCGCTGGCGAAGGGAATGAAGTCCAAGCTTGTCAGTTATTTCTGCAGCATTCATTGCATTGGGGAGATCTTGTTTGTTGGCAAAAACGAGCAAAACAGCATCTCTCAGTTCATCCTGAAGTAACATTTAGATTCACACACCGATATTATATCTTTTGCATCCCACAAACCAATATTCACAGAAAATCATCTGCTAAACAATTTAAAATTTAAACACTTTAATTAAAGGCTCAGTCAGGTAGTATCCAAGTACACAGAATGAGTAAACAACAAAAGAGATAAGCACACAACCATATGATGTTATAGCCTTTCGATCATTTCCCTTCTTACCTTCTCTCGTTCCCCTGTTTTGCATTGAAGCTCATAGACAAACACGGGGAAATAACAAGTTTCCTAATTTAAAAATGCGGTCTTTGAACAAGAAAATGGCCCTCGCCCAATTTCTTGACGTACCAGCTTCTGAGGAAAACCTACCGTCACTGGACACAAGATGACAATAAACTCTAGAGATGAACACACAAGAGTTAATAATAAGAGAAATTTCACCTAACTACTCTAACCCTGTACTTAATTGAAAGGTCCCCCCCCAGATTATAAAAAATCACAACTAACCCTTCCCAACCCCCCATTTATTAGTCACAATGCCCTCATTTTCATCTCCCCCCAACATGCTCCCGTCATTTTTGCTATATCTCTGAAATTGCATAACCGTATCTAGCATACAAGTCCTTCTAAATTAAATTCAAGATTATGTCAATCCTGATCGAGACTAGGCAACACCTCACACTTTAGATCACATTTTTTTTATTTTGACTGAATAAACTTAAGCTCCAAACACTATTCAAGCTCAAAATTATAAGTCAATAATTAGCTAGAATATAGGTCTAAGCAAATGAAAGTACTGAAAATAATCCCCAAAAAACACAGGAATGCATCCAAAGATCGCCTTCCTCTGGCTTTTAAGAGTCTAGAGCCTCTCCTGCAACACTCAATTCTTGCTAAACCCTCACTCAATATATATTCAACCAATAGCATGCATTTAATTGCATACCTCATTCAACATTCGGTGTAACTCATCCCTTGCCTCAACCACTCGATCCCTGTCATTGCTATCAACCACAAAAATAAGACCCTGTGTATTCTGGAAGTAGTGCCTCCACAGAGGACGAATCTGTACATATAAAGTCACATAATTCAACATAAGTTGCAAAGTCAACATGCTTTACTTGTAATTAAAGAAAGCCACCAGTAGAAAAGACACATGTTCAACACATACAACCCAAAGCAGAGACAAAAATATTCAAAATCAGTAGATTACATAAACTGGGATCGCACTGTCTCTGTTCCCCATATGGTGAGCACACAACTATATCTTTCTTTTAAAATATTTATTCATTCCCTCAAAAACAGCAAACCACTGACCATACACACTAGAGACATCCCCAAACCTACATTCTCAAACATGGTAAGACCCAGAAATGTCATCCCTGATATGACACGAAATAAATAGATAAGCTCAGTAGGGGTCCCATAAACTTCAACAAAGTCAACACATGGAAGATAAACTTTGAGATATTAAAAAAATTGCTATGCACGACTTCTACTTGCTTTCTCAGATTGTCACTCCATAGGAACAGACAAGGAAAATGGAATGGAGAAGAGCAGATGTACCTTGTCTTGACCACCAACGTCCCATACAGTAAAGCTGATGTTCTTGTACTCCACAGTCTCAACATTAAACCCTGCAGGGAAAGAAGATGGCCCTCTTTTCAGATCAGTACAGTGAGGAGGGATCTAAATCAAGCGCAAATAGAAATATTATAATTTCCAAGTCTTTTAGAAAAACTGATCCAGACAGCAATGAACCATTACATATCAAGTTATTTTAAAAGGAGCCTACCCTTTTAATTATTCATAAGGCGCCAGCAATATTGCGTCTGACCATTCAAAAAGAAAGAAAAATAACTCATGAGAATTAAAGCTCACCAATGGTAGGGATGGTGGTGACGATCTCGCCGAGCTTGAGCTTATACAAGATTGTAGTCTTACCAGCAGCATCAAGACCCACCATCAGAATCCGCATTTCCTTCTTTGCAAAAAGCCTACTGAAGAGCTTGGTGAACGTCAAACCCATTTTGACTTCTGAAGTAGCTAGCTACCAGAGATCACTCGACGCTGATCGTACAGTGAAAAATAGAGATGAAAGATATCATCAGACCATCAAAATTTCGCTGCTCTGCCGTAATATAAATGTTGATCAGATCGCATACATCCGGGAAAAGAAAATCCAATACTCAGCCGATATTTTTTCAAGCATAACTTAGTGATACTTTATTATTCAGGATTAGTAGCAATCGGATTAACGAATGTACAAAGCGGAATACTAATAATGATAATCTTAAGAAGCAGAAAAAATAAAATCTAAGCCCACGAACAAGCAGATCGTCAATCGTAAAACAGATCGAACAACAGAAGATAAACGAAAATTATTAATATCGATTAAATTCGAGGATGTTATCAAGTTCTCAAGAAATCTTGAGTTTGATTACATTAAAATGACTCAAAAGGGTTTACCCACCGAGAACGATGCAGATCTAAGGCAGAAACGCGCAGGAAAAGTGCTCAAGGAGTAAAAAAACACGATAACATTTGAAAGATCATGAGAAAAGAAGACTGGCTACCTCACGAAGTTTACGAGCGAGGATCGGAGGAGCGTCGAGTGCGAAAGCGCAAACCGCGATTTTTGAGGGGGAAGAATCTTTACCCCCGCCCGTTATTTAATGACGCGATATTTCAATTAGAGGATGTTAGATAAGTTATTTTATAAATTTTGAAATAATAGATGTTCTAAAAAAATAATTTTAATAAAATAAGAGTGTTTAAATAGTTATAATCAGAAGTATTTATTTTTTAGTATAGATTAATAAAAAATATAAGTTAAAAAATTATGTTTAGGGGTGTTTGGATAAAACCAAATCATGGTTTGGAAAATAGATTTCGTAAAAAAGTGATTCTCATAAAATAAGAGTGTTTGGATAATTGTTATCAGAAATACTTTTTATATGTGTAAATTACTAAAAAAGCATAAGTTTATATGATAATTATATAAAAAATAGATTTTATAATATATTTTAATTTGAAAAAATAAAATTATTAATAATATTTTTTTACCAACATAATTAATAATATATAAGATAATGTGATTAATAAATAATTAATATGTGTATATATATTTATAAAATATAAAATTAAATTGTTTGTAAAAAATAATTGAGGGGTATTAAAGTTATATTATTATTCCAGAAACAGAATGGATTCACTCCTTTTGAAATTATGATTTTGAGTCCAAAACTATGATTTTGTTCCAAAATCATGGTTTGTTAATTTTTCTCCTTGTTTGGCAAATCTGGGACCTAAAATCATGGTTTCCTATGTTACCCAAACAGGCCTGAAATGTTTAGGTATTTTTTGGGTCAAACTATAGTTTGAGCCCTAAAAGTACTTTGGACAAGTTTACCAAACACTGCCTTGGTCCATTTAGAGTTTGGCTAGAACAGCTTATAAATAGCTTTTTAATTATGATTTACGGAATATAAGACAAGTATGTGAAAATAATTTTATCTCGGCTTATATAAAACGTGCTTATAAGTGACTTTCACCACTATTCTAAACAATCCTAGTTGCTCTCAGCAAAATCACCTTAATGGATTTAAAGAATCCCACAAACGTGTCAGCTAACATGAAAAGAGCAATTCATATTAGATTTCATTTTTATAAAGAAATATATATTCTTACTAAATAAAGAAATATATTTAATTTGGAAATTAGAATTATGTGAATAATTATATTGTTTGAGATTTTGAGTTTCACATAGAATTTGAAAAAAAGAACAATATTACAAATTAAAATAGTGTGCATTTTAGGGAAAAACAATGCTAATATTATAGCTTATTATAAATTTTTCGATCAAGATAGATTTGTTACAAGCATTTCGACATTGATTGATTGATGATTGATGGATTTTTTTGGTAGAAGATAGTTAGTGGATATGTATAGAATCTGGTGGGTCATTTTACATTAGAGGCCCACAGAGGGCCCAACCCATTCAATCCGGAAAAGAGAACACAGCCGAACAACGGACGCAAAGAGCGGTCCGGGGGAGGGGCTGTACAGTTGTACTCAATGCTAGAAATTAATATGGCGTCTAGTTAGTGTTAATGTTTTGGAAGCACAAAACACAGAAGAGTTTGTACGAGGCAACTGTGAAGGCAGAGAGGGGGGGGGTGTCAGACTCGAAAGGAAATAAAGAAAGAGAGAAACAACCCCATCCTCAATTCCAACACCTCACTCCCATGTGTCCAACAGTGCGGACGTCGAAACTCCTACTTAACTCCTTTCAATAAAACTTGTTTGGTTCCGCTCTCTGTTCTCTCCATTCTCAGCGGCACCATCTCTCTCACCAGAAAGAAAGGCCTGTCTCGGTCAAATCCCCAATCAGAAGTCTCTGAAACTCCCTTCCGCACACACTCCCACACTCTTTTTTTTTTTTTTTTTCTGGGTTCACCCTTCTAAAAGAGGACAGCATTTATTTTAATCTCAGAAGAAAAGTTCATCATCCCTTTAGCTGGATGGGAAAGTGTTTTCAGGTCGCGAGGGATCCACAGCTTCTCTGGTACGTTTGCTTGAATAACTCATTTAGTTCAAATGTCGAGCTGATTTATAACAATGGCCCTGTTTCCTTGCACTTTCTCACTAGTCAAACACAGCTCTGTGGTGCCCTGTTAAGTCTTCTTCTTCTCTCTCTCTTTTTCCTGGTTTTCTGAGATAACAAAACAACCCCCTTCGAAAGTCTCAAGTAATGCAATGGAGCTGAATGTCGTTATTTGCTTTTGTTGCAGTTAGTTATTTTGCATATGAGAGGTCTTCTCTGAGGCTGTAGTTTTTGCTACTCGTACATTCTGCTGCTGCCCCCCCCCCTTTGAATATTTGAATTTCGTTGAGGTTGTTACTTATTATATTTCGCTCGCTATAGTCCTTGCGAGGAAAGTTCCCATTAGGTTGTCGGGTGTTAAGTTCATCACTTCACTGAGAAGTCTGTTGCACTTTTGCTGTCTGCATCTGAAAAAAAAAGAAAAAGAAAAAGAAATTAAGTATTCTATGAAGGTTTGTACGTGAAGCTTATTGTCTTACATCCTAACAACCATGATGCAGTGAGGGTGGTGGCCTGGGAATATTTCAAACGATCAAACTTAGCTGAATGTGGACCTGGGTATGTTTGGATGGGGGACAATGGGGGGAAGAGAATGGAAGTGAGGTTTGAGTGAAACCTTGCCCTTCTTTGGCAGCAATGAAAGAAGTAGAACCAGCCTTCCAAAATCCTCCAAACTTGTTCTTTCCTTATAGTTTTGGGTTCCCTCTAATTTGGGGATTTTGGATGAGACATTTTTCTGTAACAAGGGGAAAAGAAGTGACCATATAACCCTCACTTTTTATTTGGGCTTAATTCCCGGACATATGCTTACTCTAATGTTGAATGAAATTACTACTGATGCATTGCCAGTTGCGACATGAATTATTTGCATTCCAATTTGTTTTGCAAGTTTAAATTTCACTTGCAGCTTAGTTGGAGTTCTTCATGTCTTTGTTGTGCTGGGTGATGATTCTTATAAAAAGCTAAATTATATCATCTGCTATATTTGGTAATTATTATAGTTTTACAGGGTCTGATTGAATGCTTTCTCTCCCATTCTGCAGGTTATGTTGCTGATATACACTGCCAATATAAAGGTTTTCATACACTGAAAGGTCTGATTCTAGGATAGTTGAGCTTGTATGGCTTCAGCTGTTGGAATGGCTGGTGGTGACTCCATGATTGTTGATAAACTCCCTGAGGAGATCAATGAAATGAAGATCAAGGATGAAAAGGTATTGGAGGCCCTGCTTTCTAAATAACTCCTATTTGTTATTTCTTGTATTTTACATTAGTTTTTTCTTTTCTGCAAACGTGAATTTACCCTGTCTGATAACTCCTTCGTGATAGGAAATGGAGACAGCAATGGTAGATGGAAATGGAACTGAAACTGGCCACATCATTGTGACTACTATTGGCGGACGAAATGGTCAGCCCAAACAGGTATATTTCCGTCAGGATGCAATTATAATTAGATTGGTTCTCAAGTTAAGTAACTGAACTTCATTTTTTTACTCAGATCTATTTATAAAGCTCTCTTGAAGCTAAAGTAGAAGGCAGGGAGAAAAACTCATTTAACAGAAGACTGAAATATTTTCTTTATTTCTTGAAATTTGACTTGTTCTCTTGTTAATGAGCAAAAGGTAAAAATTAATGTTAAAAACCAAAGTATTATAACATGAGGCTTATTGTGTGTTATTATGCAAGTGTCTTCTCTCACAGATCTGGAGAATGATGCTTGCTGCTTGAAATGTTAGAAAAACATGATTCACATTATGGGTCATGATATGATATGCATTTTAATTCTTGCAAACAAATTATTTAAATTTTAATTTTGTGAAATTCATCTTTTATCCCATCCTTCTCACTGTAACATTGGTGCTTTGATCTGCAGACCATAAGTTACATGGCTGAGCGTGTTGTTGGACAAGGCTCATTTGGTATTGTGTTTCAGGTGGAATTTTTCCAATAATTTGTAATTTAGGTTAAATTTAGGTTAATTGCTACGGGACATCCATATTTAGGGAGTATAAAACTCATTTCGGAGTTTTTTTTAATTTTTTTTACAGGCGAAGTGTCTTGAAACTGGAGAAACAGTGGCAATCAAGAAGGTCTTGCAGGATAAAAGATACAAAAACCGTGAATTGCAGACAATGCGCCTTCTTGATCACCCTAATGTCGTGTCACTCAAACATTGCTTCTTTTCCACCACAGATAAGGATGAACTCTATCTCAATTTGGTACTTGAGTATGTACCTGAGACTGTATATCGTGTGGTGAAGCACTATAGCAAGGCAAACCAGCGGATGCCCTTGATATATGTTAAACTCTACACATATCAGGTTACCATCGTTTTTTTTTGTTTTTTTTGTTTTGGGCGGTAGTCTGTGAATAGTAGTCAGGATGTTAATGTAAAAAATTTCTGGTAGCTTGTTTGTGTCTCATCTCAAGAACTTTATGCATCATGTTTGATTAGTAGTAAACAGGATCCCTTGACCATATGCCACTCCCACCATGGTGAGAAATTACAGAAGAGTGTTCATCAGTTTTTATGCACTATAGTCTTTGGAAATTCACAATTCCACCACTAACTAAAACATTAAAATGCTTTGATCTTTAAAGGCTTTTACTTTCATGTTGCTTGCTGTCTTTGTCACAATCACTTGGGTAAAGTGTCTTTATTTAGCTTTGTTTGATGTACTTAAATGATGGCAAGATCACAGGAACCTCCCTTTCCCCTGGCTGAAAATTTTCTAAGCTTTTTATCAATGAAGAAACTTCTTACTACAGATTATGAGATGGCTGTCACTCTCAAGGTTATCATTATGCATGACCATTGTTATGATGCATCTCCTATGTACTATGACAGATTTGCAGAGCTTTGGCATATATTCATGGATGTGTTGGAGTTTGCCACAGGGATATCAAACCTCAGAACTTACTGGTTTGTATCAATGCCATGGGTTCTTTAGCTTTCTGGTTAGGTAATCAGGAACCAATTTAGTCTCTTTTTGCAGGTTAATCCTCACACTCATCAGGTCAAGCTTTGTGATTTTGGAAGTGCAAAAGTTCTGGTAATGTCTCACTTTTTCCTGGATATTCTAATTTCAAGCTGAATGTAGGTCATTGGCAGCTATTAAGGATACTGAATCTATTAGTTCCTGATGGCTGCTTTTGCATACGTGAGATCTGTTAAGTGGCTGAAAACCTTTGATATTTTATTACTGGGTATGCATATCTCAAGCAAGTTCATTAGCTTACAATTGACGTGTCTGGGTCACTGATAGATATATTATAGGCATTGTAGCGTTGCCACTTGAGTTGCCAGAAATGGTGTCACCTAAACTTTGTGGGAATTTCGCTACTTATATACCTTTTTTGACAATATCAGAGCATTTATGTCTTTATTTGTCCATGGTTCCGTGCACACAAATTAAATCATGATTTCCTCGAGAGAAGTTATCTTCACAATCCAATTATTAGTTTGGCTGTATTTACTTAATGTATCAACTTCTGGCTCTTGGTATCATTTGTCTGCATCTCTGCTGCATTTAAAAAAGAAGTTGGGATGCGGGAGATTAACCTTAAAAAAAAAAAAGATATACTCCTTCGGTCCTTAATATAGAACCTAATTATTGAGTTGGTTTTGGTCCTAAATATAAGACCCATTTCTCATATTTATCAATTTTCTCTAAATTATCCCTATAGATATTCCCTCAACCATGATCAAATAGAAGAGGAAAGGGGGTATTAAGAAAGATAATTATGGTATTTTAGGAAAAATGTGTCACTTTTCTTATAACTAACTTATCTAACTTCCTTAATCTAATTAAATTAGTTAAATGGGTTTTATATTAAGGACTGGAGGAGTATAACCTTTCTTTTCACCCTGCACCTCATGGCTCTGCCTTCTTGTTAATTGTTAACATATATAGTCGCCTCCTGATATGATAATTTTGGAGCAGGTCAAAGGCGAACCCAATATATCATATATTTGCTCTCGTTACTACCGAGCACCTGAACTCATTTTTGGGGCAACTGAATATACAACTGCAATTGATATGTGGTCTGTGGGTTGCGTCCTGGCTGAGCTGCTCCTAGGACAGGTTTGGCACACAACAAACGAACTTCATCCATAGTCTTAATAGTTCTTTTTGCATTTTTAAGTAATTGGCGTCAGGTTGCTTACAAGTTGTTGGTCACCATTGGCCATCTGGAATTTGTAGCCTCTATTCCTCGGGGAAAGTGGTGTTGATCAGCTTGTTGAGATTATCAAGGTAAGTTCATCTTTGGCCTTATTTGTGAACTGACCTAGAGTATCTAGGACCACAGCACTATCAAAGAAATTTTATTTGCTCGCTTCTCTAAAGAGTGATGACTGACTTAATATTTCTATGTTTTAAGGTGCTTGGGACGCCAACTCGTGAGGAGATAAAATGCATGAATCCAAACTATACAGAGTTTAAGTTTCCTCAGATCAAGGCTCATCCCTGGCATAAGGTGACTTACTTGGTTTGCATGCTTAGCTTTGTTTTGCAGCAACAACAACAATGCTTTTATTATTGTCTGCATTTTTCTGACCATGTGCTTTTTGAAATAGATATTTCACAAGCGTATGCCCCCGGAAGCTGTAGATCTTGTTTCTAGACTACTCCAGTACTCACCAAATTTACGGTGCACTGCTGTATGTAATTTTATTCATTCATCCAGAAAGTCTGAATCTAACTTCCTTCTCATTTCTGAGGAAAAAAACAACCTAAATGTAGCTCTCTTCTACTCACCTGCAGTGCTTGAATCATTGAATTCTTCTATAATTTATCTTTGCAAAATAACCAAGTCATCACTATGATTTTGTTCTTGACAGTTGGAGGCCTGCGTCCACCCATTTTTTGATGAACTTCGCGATCCTAATACTCGTCTCCCCCACGGGCGTCCTTTGCCGCCTCTCTTCAACTTTAAACCTCATGGTAGTTGTCTGCTCTTACCTCACTCCTCTTTCTTCCGGTTTAACCATTGAGAATACATCTTAACGCCATGCCTTTTGGATGAAATCACATTTGCAGAGCTAAAAGGAGCAACCTTGGAGCTTATATGCAAACTTGTTCCGGAACATGCTAGGAAGCAGTGTCCATCGCTTAACTTCTAAGTCTGTAATAACTGTGCTGACTGATCTGGAGCAACTATGTTGTATCATGTTTGTCCCGCACGTCTTATGATGTAAACAAAGACTACTGCTGCATTATGATCTCCACGTTATCATCAGATACATGTCTCTTGCTTCTGGTTTTCATAATTAGACACTTTATCGTAAATCTGAGAGATCATGTAGGAATCTTTTCTTTCCAATATCTGTCTCTCTCTCTCTGTGTGTGAGCACGCGCCCGCCCGCCCACGCTTTTGATGAGGCAGGACAGATTAATATCTCAAAAGATTAATTAATAGAAATTAAGAGATCCAGCATTATTGGATTTCCTTTTTCCGTCACAACTCTGTCTAGAACTATCTTTTCTGAGCGAAATCTCTATTTGTAAGCTGAAATGTGATTCTTGATTTTGCTTTCTACCTTAGGGGTGTGGTCTCGCTTTTAATTGCCTTCATATATGGCTTTCTATATAAAAATAATTGGATTAAATCAAAACAACTTTATTTCCCGTTCCTTCCTTTGATTGTTATGGTAATTTTCTTATTGTCACTAACAGCTCAAGTGTTAGGCATTGCATTTGTTTTGTGTGGATGACATTAGGCATTGCATTAATATAAGGCTTTTGGTGTGCTGTTAGATATAATGTTTAATACTTTTTAATTGGGAAAAGTTATTGTATTGAAAAGAATATGATAAATTTCCATACATAGAAAAATATTGGTCACTTGAAAATTTTGCACGCAGGGACTAAAGCCAGCACTTTAATTTAGGTTATTTTTACCAATAAAAATTTTAATTTATAATAATAGGCTTTTTCAATTTTTTTTCTCTGATTTTCTATAACCCATCATTGTTATTTAAAAAAATAAATTTAATAAAAATATTTGTTAATATTTGAAAATCCATATTAACATTTTTTGTTGATCGCATTTGGATTAAAAAAATCAAAAGTATATTTATAAAAGAACAATATTTTATATTAAATTTTTTATATCTAATTACATATGATCATATTAGTTTATAAATAAATTATAATATTTAAAAAATATGATGCATGACCATGTGTGATTAAATTTTGTATAAAAAATATAAAAACTTGATTTAAATATTTTTTTATAAAATTTTGTATAAAATTAAAAAGTTATACTTTTGCCAAGTATAAAATATCTTAAAGAATGTTTCTCTCTCCTCACGTGAGTACTTGTGTGAGAATTAAGTAAATAAATTTTTATTTTTATCCACCCAATCGCTACAAATATAAAGTGAAGTACACGCGCATCTTTACCCGTTCGTTTTCTAGACTTTCTTATGCTGAATAATAAGAAAATATTGCTTCAGAAAGGCCTCCAACATTTTTGCGCTAATCCTAGGGCTCTGATCAAGTTTCGGAAACCGTAGAAATTCCGATATCTTTGACCCGTATCTGATCACAATATCTTAACCGTTGCAATTTTCTTCCCCCGGGTGAATGGGGCCCTGGTTCAAAACGGGACGGCGGGGTTTAGAATCAACGCGCCAAGAGGAAACGCCCCGACTGTGAAAATGCGGGATTCCGATTCCGGAGCATAAACAGTTTCCAGTCTGGCTTTTTGGGGTTGAACAGCCCTCGTCCCTCTCCACGCACCAGAATCCGATGATGCATTCACTTCTTACTCTTTGTTCGGGTTGAATTTCCTCAACGTGCGTGCTCTTAGGTTAGATTTATTTGGTTTTATTTTGCTCGTGAAGCTTATTGATTGAATTTTGACCTGAGAAGACCTCTTTTTTTCATGTTCTGTTCTCGATTGGAGCAGAAGTGAACCTGCATTACCGGAGGGAGATCTCGCATCGGTGGGTTGTCGTATTTTTGTAATTGAAGGGGCGGAGTTTTCTCTGGTGCCGTTTTTCGGATTGCATGATGTCTCTAGTATTGGTCACCCCGATATTGTTATGCGCTCTGATTGTACATTTTCACTAGTTTGCTTGAAACGAAGGATTCATATGTTTATTTTTCTTATAAGTCTTTAGATGCATGTCAGCATGCTTTGTATGATTCAAAGCTTTTTTTGCGAAGTACATATTCCTAGGGCTTGTTTATCCCGATGGAGTTGTTTGTAAAAATAACCAAAACAATTTATATGCTTTTAATTGAGTTGTGTGGATGCAAAACAAATTTGGAGTCTCCACTATCTCTACTAACCCCTCTCCTCAAGCTCATCCGACGGTTCAAATTTTCTTGTAAGTTTTGACAGCTCCGTTACTATTTTTTTTTGAAATATTAAGTTTTTATTGTTCCAATATATTTTGATGGCCTTCAAGACCGAGGAGTGTAGAGGACTAGAGAGACAATGCCTGGGGAAATAGCATTGGTGCAAAGTTGAAGTCGTCTCTCGAGCTTGGTCAATGAATCTGTTCTGATTTCTAATCTACTCCTTCCCGAACCCTGCTGGTTTTGATTCCCGTTAATGTACCTCAAACTCATGCTATTATGGATAGTATGTACTGACAGATCTTCCAAAACCCGCAAGCCATTCTCCTTTATTATTGTGAATTATCCCCAACATTAAGCTTCCTCGTGCCCCATCCCCATCTAGCCGAACAGTCCCTTCCCAGTCGGTTAAAATTTGCGTTCATGCATCTCTTGCTCCAGCCTCTCCTTCTCATTTTCATTTCTCTTCTCCTTGAAATCGTTGTCATTAGCGCTGAGGCATATGAATATGCTATTTGCTGTCTGTTATTGTGAAGCAAGACTTTGTCACGAGTGCAACACTTCCCAAGGCAGACAGCAATGAACTGGGTCTTAATGGAGGAGACATGACTGGGAGTTTTGTATTGTGGAAGGGTCTCAATCCGATTAGTTCCCCCCCCCCCTCCGGTGTTATGCATTTGTTCTGACACAAACGTGGTTTTGTTCTTGTTACCAAAACAAAACAAAAAAAATGGTTTTCTTCTTTGTGCACTGTGCATCCGTCCCAGGTTTGAATGATGTATTTGTTGAATCTGAGTTTGGTTTGATTTACTGGTTGAATTTGATTTTGGTTGAGGGACGTTTGGGACTTTTCACTTTTATATCTATTTAATTAAATATAAAAATTCTTTTACCTTTTGTTCATAGCATACCAAACGAATTCACAGTGATCAACATTCCAGTCTGCTACTTTCCAATTCATTCCTTTCCTTTTTATGTTAAATGCAAGAACTTTGGAATTTCTTTTCTTTCTTTCAATCTTACTGCAACCAATTTATATACCATAATGGATTGCTTTATCTGGCTCTCTAATCTTCTTTTACTATTATTTGGCAGATTGAGGACTTTAACTGGTGTTGAGAGGTTGAAGATGGTATGTTCTACTTGCTGACTTCGAAATATATCCATATATAAGTCCTTTTTGTTGCATTTTTAAGTCTTAATTACCGAATCCATCTGTAGTGCGCTTTCAGAGGCTGACCAAGTGGATTCATTTCAAATCCACTCTGTCTTGTACTTTCTGTTTTCCCCTCAATTATTGCATGTAGTTTTGCAACTTTGGTATGGCCTTTCCTTTTAATGTATCCTGATTTGGCAGGATGGAGATAATTCTGGTTCGGAGAGTGACAACTGTGATTGGAATACTGAAGATGAGTTAGAAATTGAAAATTTCCAATCTTCATCTTCAAATTTAACTGTTCCCAATGGAGAGGCTATTTCTGGGTCTGGGGAAGTAAGTTTTTTTTTTTTTTTTTGGCACTTATCTTTCTAGCATTCTAGCATTCTTTATAAGAAGTTGAATATCTGAAAATCTAATTAGAGGACCAACTATTATTTTCTCTTTTTCTTTCCTCTCTTTTTTTCCTTTTTGGTTTTTGTGGGAGCTTTTATTGGCATGAACAACAAAGACTTTGCGTCTTGCTCCCTCCCTTTATGCTTGGGTGACCTCAATATATCGGGTTACACTATTCATAGGGTAAAGTAGGATGCTGCAGGGTGCTTCAGCCTAGTTTTTGTGCCAGTATCTTTATTTTGCTACTGTGTTATATTAATGAATGATCTATAACTTGATTGCACAAGCGGAGTATTAAATTTTTTTTAAAAAAAAATATGTCTTTTGTACAGGACCTTTCTTTACGCTGTTGATGCAAAATTTTGTGTTTGTGATGTTTATTTGATGCCTGATTTCTTGACTTTCTTGCTACTCACAAGAGCCTATGAACTTGATGCACGTACCCACCTCATTCCCTTTTCATTACCCTTGAAGGCAAGCTCATCTCCAGGTTCATCGAATTCCAAGATGTTTGATCACTTTGTTGGAATGGGATTTTCTGAAAAGTTGGTTTCAAAAGCAATTCAGGAAAATGGTAAAAGCACTATTTTAGTCAAGCATGGGTTTTAGGTGTATCATTGAGATTGACAATCTGTTTCTCGTGAACATCTATCCAGGGGAAGAAAATGCAGATTTACTTCTTGAAACACTTCTCACATTGTCGGTGAGTTGATATTTTCCTCTATTGATTGATACAATTCCTAGCGTGTTTGTTCTTTGTGCCAATTTTTATCAAGTCATACCCTGCTGTTTTCATCCTCTCTTTATATATCTCATTTCCTCCCTCCTAAATTTAAGAAACTGTTCAATGCTGTATTTGTGCATATTTTATACAAAATCTGATTGCTTATTTATATTTGTGAATACTCAAATATTATACAATATATTTAGATTAATGGAGGATAGTTAAGTTTAAAGATTGCACTAAAATGTATATTTTGAAAATAGAGGGTAAATCTGTATAATTAACTAACTAGTTTTTTTTTTTTTTTGGTTGACTCGTTTCTTCAAAATAAGATGATAGCTTCTTCATCTATTCAATCTTTTCCATATTTTCCTTTCATTCTATTATTTTATTAATGACTAGCTTAAATCCGAGCTCCTGCTTACTAGGGTTACTATACTAAAATATAACGATGTGCTTGGTACATTTCCGTTTTCATTCAGGCTTAAAATATCAGTAGAATACTGTCTTCTTAAGAAGGCTTAAACAAATAAGTTAGCCATAGTTCACATTAATTTGAGCTGTGTATTTCCTCTCAACTGAATGGCTTAATTGTCCATTACTGTCACCTCCCTTTTCCCCCTCTTCCCCTTCTTTTCGGTACTCTTTTTATCACTGATATTTTAAAAATATGATCTGTTTATTTCACACGTTTCACTGGTGCATGTAAACATGTTTTACTTAGCATTTATTTTTACTAATTTGCAGGCTCTGGATAGTTCTCCTCAAAATGACAAGGAAATTGAATCAGACTTTTGCTCTTCAGATGTTGAAGGGAGCTCCCTTGATGATTGCTCAGATATGGATAGTTTCTCTGATGATACGGTGGTTTTGCTTCTCTCAGCTTTTTGTAGTCAAACTACTTGCTAGTTCATTGATCTTCGTTAGCATACTTTGTGACACTTCAAGTTTGTATAGCTAGATGGGTTCTGTTATCTTTTAAAAGATAGTGGCATATACTTTTTAAGCATTAGTCAAATTAAGTTTTATATTAACATCTTGGTAGCTTGTAAGATATCTTTTTCCCCTAGTTCACTGCAGGGAGAAAGAGCAAAATAGTTCTTGTTTTGCATAGTTTCACTTATTCATACTACGTGCATCTTTTGGACATCTGATATTTGGCATTGTATTGGAGCAATCTTCAGCTGCAAATCTTATATTTAAAATTATGCCTTGCCAACTGCTGCTTATCTTTCAGGAAATTACAAAACCTGTATCTCAGAACAATGGTACATTGAAGACCTTAGTGAAGATGGGCTACAATGTTCAGGAGGCTTCAGTTGCCATGGAAAGATGTGGTGTGTATTAGGTTTCAATCTTGATTTGTTATTGGTCTTCGCTAGTTATTTAGTCCGGATCAACGCATGTTTGACTGCATAAATTAGGTTTAAAAGATTCAAATATTTGGTAAACTCTTAATTTACTGTTTTCTTGGCCCTTTTTTTTTTTTTCCGGTTGAAATGCTGCAGGTGTGGGTGCGCCACTTGCGGAACTGACGGATTTTATATGCGCTGCTCAAATGGCTAAGACTGCAGATGCCCTTATGGCTCCTGAAGAGAAGGTAGTATATTGGCATCTTCAGAATTGACAGGATCAAAATAAATTTCAAGCACACCACTTTCTCTAATTTGTTTCCTTATTTGTTATGATGACGCACCATCTATCATGTTTTGTTTTGTCTCATATGTCAGGATTGATAATTGGTAGTTTTAAATATTTTCACAGCCACGATGCGGTGACCATACTAATAAAAAGAAGCGTAGTTATTATGAATGTGAGGTTCTGGGAAGAAAAAAGCCAAGGGATATTGAAAAGAAAACTTCTAATGAAGATGATGAGATGTTGCATCTTCCAAACCCAATGGTAGGTTTTGGAGTTCCTACGGACGAGTCATTCTTTATAACACACAGAACACTTCCTGAGGCTGCCATTGGGCCTCCTTACTTTTACTATGAGAATGTTGCACTTGCACCTAAAGGTGTTTGGCAAACAATATCTAGATTCTTGTACGACATTGAACCTGAGTTTGTGGATTCAAAGTATTTCTGTGCAGCTGCCAGGAAAAGGGGCTATGTTCACAATCTCCCCATCCAAAACAGATTTCCTCTTCTTCCCCTTCCAGCACGCACAATTCATGAGGCATTCCCCCTAACAAAGAAATGGTGGCCCTCTTGGGACCACAGAACCAAACTTAATTGTTTGCAGACAGCTATTGGCAGCGCGAAACTAACAGAGAGGATTAGGAAAGCTCTAGAGAGCTATGAAGGGGATCCACCCCTGCATGTCCAAAAGTATGTTCTTGATGAATGTCGGAAATGGAATCTAGTTTGGGTGGGAAGGAACAAGGTCGCCCCACTGGAGCCTGATGAGGTTGAAATGTTGTTGGGTTTCCCTAGGAATCACACTAGAGGAGGCGGAAGTAGTAGAACTGAGAGGTATAAATCACTCGGCAATTCATTCCAGGTGCGCAAATTTTATTTTTTATGCTAACTCTGGATCCATTAATATCCCTCAATTCATATCCTGACCGATCATGGAGAAAAGAGTTGTTTTAAGTTAGAACCATGTTCAATTTTCTCCTGTAGTTTTGCTTAAGTTGTGAGACTTGTAGAAGTTATATGCACATTTAGAATTTATTTCTACTCTCTATAACCTTGAAAGGAGTCTTTCTGGTTCTTGCAGTGATTTAGGGTGACGTGTTCTGATGTTGTTTTCAGGTTGACACTGTGGCGTACCACCTGTCAGTTCTTAAGGACATGTACCCTAATGGCATCAATCTTCTCTCTCTGTTTTCTGGAATTGGTGGCGCAGAAGTAGCTCTTTATCGGCTTGGCATTCCTCTCAAGAATGTTGTTTCAGTTGAGAAATCAGAGGTAAATAGGAACATAGTCAGAAGCTGGTGGGATCAAACCAACCAGAAAGGAAATTTATATGACTTGGACGATGTACAGCTGCTAGATGGTGCTCGGTTAGAGTACTATATGGAACTTTTTGGGGGTTTTGATCTTATTGTTGGTGGCAGTCCGTGTAATAATTTAGCTGGTAGCAATAGGGTTAGCCGAGATGGTCTTGAGGGCAAAGAATCATCTCTCTTCTTTGATTACTGTCGTATCCTAGACTTGGTCAAAAATTTAATGGCGAAAGGTCGATGACTTTTTGTCAAAAGATCGCCTCTGTTTCTCTATGCATGTAATTGGACTAATTTGGATCGTCCTATTTAAACTGGAAACTTCTGCCTGATGCATCTTCTCTCACCTACCCCAGCCTCCCTCTATTTAATTTTTCCGTTTTGCAAGAGGACTGAAGGAATTTCAAAGAAATTATTTACCTTCATAGTTCTCAGCCTCCTACTTCGTTACACTCCTTAGGTCTTGGAGTCAACAACATTCCGGATCAAACTTCATTTTATTCGCCGGCGGCAACTAAATTGGCCCTTTGTGCATGGTCTTTGATACTCCTCCGGTCCTAATTATAAGACCCAATTGACTTATTTGAGGAGATTAATGAAGTAAGTTAAGTCGGTTATTTATAATAAATAAGTGTTGTTATTTCTAAAATATCTTTGCTAATTAAGTATATTGGCTAAAACTATCATTATTAGAAGGATTATCTTGGAAAAAAATGCATAAATATAAGAGAGAAAATGGATTGGGTCTTATAATTAGGACCAAATAAAAAGTCAAATTGGGTCTTATAATAAGGACCAGAGGAGTACATTTTCTTTGTTTAGGGAGGTGCTACCTCCTGTTTTAATTATAAGATTTTTTGCAGCAGATTCTTCACTGGTATTTTGTATCAGATTCTATTCGTTCCTACGTATTGATGTTTTCATTTGGCATACTCAGACAAGCAGGAAAAAGACGAATGTAAAATTGACAGCATGAAAATTTTCCCGTTATGTGGGGTAATCCAGGCATTATATCATTCTATTATCGCTCACCGATGTCAAGACAGAATCATCAGTGTATTAAAAAAAAACAGAGAGAGAGAATCATCATCATCAATCAGATTTAAAATCTAGACATAGTAGGCCACGTAGGATGACAAAGGCAAGGGTATCTATCATAACTTTTCAACGAGTATACAAGGGTGCAAACAAGTAAATACATATATATTGAATTAATACTTTTATGCTTCCTTTTAATATAATAAATACAACACAACATCATTTTCAAGCCGTGTGCGGAAGAAATTTCTTTTTTTTTTTTTTAACCAGCGGAAGAAGTCTCTATTGAAAGCCTAACGCAGACTTTTCTATATATATAGAACAAAATTTAAGTGAAGTTATAAAATTTCATAAAAGTGAGTCGAGTAGTATTTTAATTTCTAAAAGTCAAAAAACAACCTGCTAGTAAAATTCTTACATCATTGAACTTGAATTCTCACCTCCAAGGTTATAGGGATTTAAATAATTTTTACCTCACTAGTAATACTTGTGGGAGGGGGGGAGCCAAATGATTTCAAAAAAATTTATTAAATTTCATATTCTCTAAGGGTGTGTTTGGTTGGAGGGGAGGGGAGGGGAGGGGAAATGAGCCCCTCCCCTCATTTGGTTAAAAATTTTGGAGGGGAGGGGAGCTAAAATGTCCCCTCCCCTCCCCTCCCTCCCCCCATTTTGGCTCCTCTCCAAATTGGGGGTTTTTGGAGGGGAGCCAAAATTTTGGACCATTATGCCCTTATGATTTTTTTAATATTCCACTTCTACCCATAAAATATATTATTATAATATTTATTTCAAATAAAAAATATATTATCCTAAGTAAAAAAAATAAAAAAATATACATTATTATAATTAAAAATATTATAAAAATTATTTAAAAATAAAATTATTTAAATAAAAAATTCTAATATTATAAAATTAATTGTTTTTTATAAATATATTATTTATTAAATATATTTTAAAGCTGGAAAAAAAGATAGCCTAAAGAAAATAAAATTTCATTTTTCTTAGAGCATATAAAATTTGTTAATTTGATTATTTTAAATATATTATTATATTAATTAGAATGAAAAATTACTATACCAATTTTTTAATACACATATTAACATGATAAGACTGAATTTTGATTAATTATATAATTTAAATTAAGATGTAAATTAATTTATATAATATATCAATAAAAAACATAAACTAATGTATAAGGGTAAAATGGTAAATTGATTATTACTATCCCTCCCCTCCCCTCCTTGAACCAAACAAGGGATCATTAAATATCCTCCCCTCCCCTCCTTTTTAATCAAACCAAACAAGGTGAGGATGAAACCTCCCTCCCCTCCCCTCCCTCCCTCCCTCCCTCAAACCAAACAGGCCCTAAGGAGGATAGAGGTTCTATAAGGTTATGTATTTGCATTATTTTCACTGCTGATAAAAAAATATGGGGAAAATTGGTTAAAAGTCCATCTTCTACAAATTAATTGGAGAATGGGACTTGCAATAAATGAAAAGGTGTGAGCTTTTCAAATGTCAGTGTGATTAACAACAACAAAAAAGAACATATTGCCCCGACGAATACTAATTGCATATGACGGATCTTCATTTTTATATCACGGATCCTAATTCCATATGGTGGATACTTAGTTGCATATGAGAACTCATTGTATATCACAAATCTTAATTGCATATCATTGATCCAAACTTGCATGTTGCTGATTCTAATTGCATATTGTGGATATCTAGTTGTATATAATCTCTTATTGTATATCACAGATCCTGAGTGTATATAAATGATCTAGGGTTGCATATTAGTTGTTCTAATTGCATGCTTAGATACCCAGTTGTATATGAAACTTTATTGCATATCACAAATCCTAATTGCATATTAATGATCCAAAGTTGCATGTGTCTAATTCTAATTACATATTACGGATGCGTAGTTGCATATGAGACTATATTGCATATCATGAATCATGATTGCATATCATATATCTAAATTTGCATATTGTTGATTCTAATTGCATATATGCTACTATTCACATAACAAATTTTGTGTAGCACTCACAAACAGATTCTTATCTACAAATTAACAAGATGGAATTGGGATCCGTCATATGCAATTAGCATTTATAGATAAGAATTTGTTTGTGAGTATTGCACAAAGGAATTTGTTTATTTGAATAATAACATATATGAATTAGAATAAGCAATATACAAATTTGGATCAATGATATGTAATTAGGATCCATGACATGCATTAAGGTTTCATACGCAACCAGGCATTGCAATATGCAATCAGAATCAAGTATATGCAACTATGGATTAGCAATATGCAATTAGGATCTGTGATATGCAATAAAGTCTCATACAATTAGGCGTCTGGGTATGCAATTAGAGTCACCAATATACAACTTTGGATCATTTATATGCATTTATAATTCGTGATATGCAATAAGTATCTACAATATACAATTAGAATAAGCAATATGCAAATTTGGATTAACAATATGTAATTAGGATCTATGATATGTAATAAGATTTTCACATGCAACTAAATATCTACCATATGCAATTAGAATTCGCAATATGCGAGTGATAATCTATTATGCAATTAGTATCTGTTAGGATAATATGATCTTTTTTCTACCACACTTACTAACATTTGAAGGGCCTATATCTTTATATTTATTGTATGTCCTATTTTTTAATTAATTTGTTAAAAAGGGATTTTTAATCAATTTTTCTTCAGCTTTCAGCCTTTTTTGCCCAGGGGACGTACAAGTGGCCCACTAAGACCTAACCAGGGTCAAATTTGGGGCCGGGGTAACCAGGTTACCGGGGCAGGCGATTCTCAAAGCCCTTTCGGAACGGCGACGACTGATATCTGTTATTTCTATAAATAACCTCTCATCTCCCCAATCTTCTCCTTCTGGCACTACGCTTCCTATCTTTTCGAAGCGGGGCCTTCCTCTCTCATCGATCCACTATCCCTAAATCTGAACCCCTCACCCCGATCCCCCTTCCTATTAAAATTGCCAGTTCCGCGTAGATTCTACGACTCCTTCTCGCTTCCTTAGACCTTCAACTAACTTCTTCTGGTACAGTTTTTTTTTTTAATTTGTTTTTGGTTTTCTTCTTACATTTTTAGAGCGTCGTGTAATCCCTCAGATCTGAATGTAAGATTTTATGGCTAGCTCATGCATTACCATCGCTACCGACCATGACGGAGTAGAATGAAATCTAGGGTTTGCAGGTTTGCCTTTTTGGCGTTTGTTTTGTGGTTCATTTGGTTTATGGCGACGTGTTTGCGCTGCATGCGGTAGCTTGCTTCATTTCTAGAACTACTGAGAATTTGCCTTGAGATTTGGGTTCTGGAGGTGCGATTTATGTCATCAATTTAGGTTGAAGGTTGCCTGATATTTTCGATTTCCGATCTTAAGCGTTTGTTGCCTTTTTGGTTTATTGCTACAGTGACATCGTTCGTAGATTTTATTTGAAATTCTGGTGCTAATAGAGCGTCTAAATGGAGTCAATTGGGATTCTGAAATAATGGATATTAAATAGCTAATTTGATTTCATGACAAGTCTAGCGATATAAATTTGGACAACTATTCGAAGATCATTAATAAAGTGATAACTTATTCATAAATATCTTTTAGGTTGGTTTGTTAGGACTATATTGCTCGTTCCCTTGCAATGGCTGCCACGGCAACGGCCTCTTCAGTGGGTCCAAGATATGCACCGCATGATCCGACACTTCCTAAACCATGGCGGGGACTTGTTGATGGTAAGACCGGCTATCTCTACTTTTGGAATCCCGAGACTAATGTCACCCAATACGAGAGGCCTGCAAACTCAGCTGCCCTGCCAAGGTCTTCAGTGCCTAGTTCTTCAGTCCAGGTCCAACAATCATCACAAGGACCACGTCGGGACCGCAGTCCTGATTTAAATGATAGGTATGGTAGAAGCATAGTTGGTGGGCCAAATGCTGAAGCTGGATATCGGAACCATCAGGTTTATTCCCACTGTCTTAAACTCTTCTTTTTGTGTTATCCTCCATTAATACCTTCCTGTTATGGGTCACATGCAGAATAGTGAATTGTCATTCGTGTAGTTTTATGTAGTACTGGCCCAGATTTAGCTTCATCTCTCATGGACATTCTTATTATGACTTTGATTGTCAATTTGTGGACTGACTGTTATTAGCAATTGCATGTATCTTCTTGGAAACTATTTGAAATGGTTCTGTTTTACCATGTGACTTGTAAGGAGTAATTTGATCCTTACATTTTCCTTGGTGGGTTATAATTCTATCTTTAGCTATTTAATCAGCGAAGGTGGCAGTGGTGGGGTGAAAAAGGGGACTAGGAAGGGGAAGGAATTATGCTCATGCATCAATGTTTCTCTTCATCTTAATTTATCTTGGGGCTAATTTTAAGTATCTCTTGTTTTGAATCAGAATCCAAAAGGTGGGTGTCTTGGTTCTCATAATGTTCCAAATGGAATGCACATGACGGGAAATGTGAGCTCTTCTATCAGAAGTCATGGATTATCAGATGCAGAAGTTGGATTAACTCCAGAGTCTTATCGACGTCGCCATGAAATAACTGTTTCTGTTAGTATTTAAAGAATTATGTAAACTGGAATTGATTATACATGTGGCTACTGATGTTCACAAAAGTTATTCAAATAACTAATTCTTTTGCGCCAGTCATGTAACTCTTTTGTCGTCTGCACTATTTTGACAGGGAGATAATGTCCCTCCACCTTTCACATCCTTTGGCTCTACTGGTTTTCCGTCAGAGATTCTTAGAGAGGTATCGTTTTCCGTTTGCTGTCTTCTGGCATCTTTTCTTTAGTGACAGTTAGAGGGACATGTAAGTTTTTTGAGTTATATGACCTGAGTGATTCTTCAGCAGCACTCTGATTCCTGGAGATCAATTAAGTTTCAGGCTCATGATAAGCTTTTTGCCATCTTTACTTTTTTTGTCGTAGGTGCGATATTTGCTCCTGGGGAGGAGCTAATGTCGTACGCTGTGGTGCCCTAATTTGTGGGGCTAGCAATTAGTTTGGAGCGCCCTTGTATGGTGGACCAATTTTTTGGAAGGGCTTTCCGAATCATCCATGTTCGTGGCTGGGACTGCTGTTGGTCATGATTCAGTCTGCCACTTTGTCTGAACGGAAGAAGAGGCCTCCTCATGCGATAGCTTGCTGTGCAAGCATTGGTGGTTTGCATATGGGGGATGATACTTCTTCCGGAACTTACCACTCCTCTATAAGTCCCAAAAGAAAACCAATCTCCTGGATTTTCCTTTTTCCAGGTACACAATGCTGGGTTCTCTGCCCCAACACCAATTCAAGCACAGTCATGGCCCATTGCTCTTCAAAGTAGAGATATAGTTGCCATTGCCAAAACAGGTTCAGGGAAAACTCTGGGATATTTAATTCCAGGATTTATACATCTCAAACGTGTTGGAAATGACTCCAAGCTGGGCCCCACTGTATTGGTACTGTCACCAACAAGGGAGCTGGCAACACAGATACAAGATGAAGCTGTGAAGTTTGCAAAATCATCCAGAATTTCTTGTGCAGTAAGTTGTTTGATTATTTTACTGTGTTTCTCTTCATGGTGCTTTAATGCATTTTCATGGAAACCATAGAAAATGATAATTATGTTGCTTTGTAAATTTGAGAATATAAAATAGGTTCATGCTCTCTTAAGTGTCATCGTTAATTGGATTGCAGAATGAACGGAACTCATTTTTGTTTCTCCTATTACATTCTTACAACCTGGAATATGATTTCATGTGGGGATAGTTTGCCCTGCAAGCTTGATTAGAAAAAACAACTTAGTTTTGTTGTTGAAATTCCTTGAGTTTATGAGGCCCTCACTATTCTTTTTTTTTTTTAAAATAGTGTTTGTATGGGGGAGCACCAAAGGGTCCTCAATTGAGAGACATTGATCGAGGAGCAGATATTGTGGTTGCTACTCCTGGCCGCTTGAATGATATTCTTGAGATGAGGAGAATTAGTCTTCATCAGGTGTCTTACCTTGTACTGGATGAGGCTGACCGTATGCTGGATATGGGTTTTGAGCCTCAAATCAGGAAGATTGTGAAGGAAGTGCCTGCACGGCGGCAAACCCTCATGTTTACTGCAACATGGCCCAAGGAGGTTAGGAAAATTGCAGCTGATCTGTTGGTCAATCCTGTTCAGGTTAACATTGGCAACGTTGATGAACTTGTTGCTAATAAATCCATTACGCAGGTTGTATTCAACTTTCTATGATGTTATTTGATGCCATTTGAATCTTGATTTCATTGAATTGCATGATGATGTCTTTTGATTTCTATTAGAAGCTGTATGGTCAATGAAAGTTTGCTGGTTTCTCTTTTGGGCAGCATATAGAAGTATTGGCACCTTTGGAGAAACACAGACGATTGGAACAAATATTGCGGTCACAGGATCCAGGGTCAAAAATAATTGTTTTTTGTTCTACCAAGAAGATGTGTGATCAACTAGCTCGCAATCTTACACGCCAGTTTGGGGCTGCAGCCATTCATGGGGATAAATCCCAGGCTGAGAGGGATCATGTGTTGAACCAATTTCGAACTGGGAGATCTCCTGTGCTCGTAGCTACTGATGTTGCTGCTCGAGGATTGGACATCAAAGATATTAGGTTGTTTACTCTGTTTTATTGTGTCTATTATTCTGAGGGCATTGTAGGTTTTTACCACGGACCAGTTTACTGTCCTTGAGCTTGGTATTTGAAAAAGGATATACTTTTCATCACTTCTGATGTTGGCAGTCAATTTGGTTCAGGGTCGTTGTCAATTATGACTTCCCTACTGGTGTGGAGGACTATGTTCATAGGATTGGGAGGACCGGGAGGGCAGGAGCAACTGGCTTGGCATACACATTTTTTGGAGACCAGGATGCCAAACATGCTTTGGATCTGATCAAGATCTTGGAAGGTGCTAATCAGCGAGTTCCATCTGAACTCCGTGATTTGGCATCACGTGGTGGTGGGATGAACAGATCCAGGCGATGGGGTTCTGGTGGTCGTGGGGGACGCAGTGATTCTGGATATGGAGGAAGGGGCAGTGATTCTGGATATGGAGGAAGGGGCAGTGATTCTGGATATGGAGGAAGGGGTAGTGATTCTGGATATGGGGGAAGGGGTGGGTGGGGAGCCACTCCTGGTGGACGAGGTCGTGGATCTGACTATGATTTGCAGAGGTCAGTTTACTTTATTACTACTTATATTGTCTTCAAAATGAAAGTTGTCTCTGTATTTTCTATTGAAATTCCAGTTATGGATGAGGACGTATTTGTGGTGTAGGAATGATGCCCATGAGAAGTATGGTAAAGGAAGGAGTCATAGCAGGAGCCCTGATAGGAGTAGAAACTTCTGCCGTGATCGTAGCCGCAGTCGAAGTCCGAACAGGCATGAAAGGGCTGCGCCACCTTCCCAAGGTTTTAGTTTTCACCAAGCAATGATGGAACGTAGAGGGGGCAGTGATCATGACAGGAGCTTTGATCAAGATAGAAACAGGAGTCGCAGCCCTGTTAGGCATGATAGGGCACCATCTGGCCGTGAACGTTCCCCAGCTTATAGTTTTCATCAAATGATGATGATGGAACGTGGTCAACAATCTGCCTCATCGAGGCAGCAGCAGCGCGATGTTAGTAAAGACGACAGAAGTTCAAGATACACATGTAGTAGTCACTGGAACAGTTCATCATCCTCCCCTCGTGGTGGTGTGTCGGACAGAAGTCCTCGTCAGGAGTGGGGAAGATCTCCTAGAAATAAGGTGGATGATGGGAGATATGGAGAAGAGGAGGAAGGGATGATTCCTGATGAAGGCATGATGCCCCAAGATGACCATGCTGCTTATGGGGTTGCGGATTAGAAGTGCTGCAATTCCCCCATCTTGCTAAGTTTCTACACGTATGGGGTTATTTTGGTCTGCCTACCTATTTTTTGTAGTCAAGGTAGTGGGAGTTCAGGGAAATGTATTTTTTGAGTGGATGGAGATGAAAGCATGGAAATAGCAAAACTCGAACCTAGTAACAAATGTTTGATCTTTTATCTGATAAAATCCTAATTCTTATATATACATACATATATATAGCCCAAAATTTATTGCTTCCAACCATTTAGTATCACTATGATGTTGAAGTGTTGGAAATACTTTGTGGGGCAACTGATTATGTGCCTGTTTCGTGGGGTGTTAGGAACTGTTTGTAATAGTTTTTTATTAATATAATTTATGGATCAAAAGTTGTTTTTTAAAGTAGGATTATAAAAACATTTAAAACGTGTTATGAAATTAACTAACAATAAAAGTAGATTGGAAAAGAGAAGTAAACAAGAAAATGAGAGAATGATATTGTATTCCTTTACTTGTTTAACTTGCATCACAATACAATGGTGTGTCTTATTTATAGACATAATCTTACACATAAGTTACATTTATACTTAGGTGATAGATAGTGGACAATAAACCATATGAATATGAGTGGTGGGGGTTGCAAGATTAATGGCATAGTAGAAAGGTAATGGAGTAGTGAAAGATTAATGTCTAGTGAAAGTAGTGGAAGTTGATGATGAATTTGAGAGGAAGAGGAAGAAGAGGAGATGAACATCCACATGTTATAATATTCATAACAAACTTACTTATTTATGATTTATGTAAAATCAATTTTTGGGAATTAAGAGATATTTTTGTTCTTGTGTTTATATTATTCTTATACTTCTCTTTATATATTTCTTGTGTTTTCTAATCAGTTTTTTGGTATTTATTTTTAATATTTTTTCAAGTCAAAATTTTTAACAGATTTTATAATCTTTTTAATTTTTGATATTATTTTTATTTTATATTTACATAAATTATGCAGAATATATCATCTAATTACTTATGTAATATTATTTGGTTAAAAAATTTTCATGTTATTATGATTTTTAATTTAAATATATTTTATTTATTAAATATAACTTCTTACTATTATAATAATTTAAAATTATTATATTTTGTAAATTTATATTTTTAATTATTTTTTATTATTTAATAAAAATTATATTTATTTTGATTATTTTACAAATTAAACTTACTTATTCAATCACAATTTAATTAATTTTTTTATTTTACAAACTAAATTTTATAAAAGTCAATCCAAATATAAATTATATTATCCAATCTATTTTTATTTTTCTAAAAGTTGTATTAAAAATAAGTTTTTTTTTTTTTTGGCTTTTACCATCAATCCAAGAAGGCTCTATATTTTCCAGTTACGACGTTCTGAATATGGTCTATACTTCTGAGGATCCTGAAGCAAGAGATTGATGCACAGATCTAACCACCGCTCTTTCTTTTTTTTTTCCCTTGGCTAGTAAACAGGGAGGCATAGCCCTGAAGTCACGTTGGGGTGGGAATCGTGCTTTTGAGGCCGACCTGGCGAAGCCTCAGTCAATGTCACGGAGCGGAAAATACCGTACACGTGTCATTGGGTGTTTTGTGTGTTAAATGTGATTCATCTTTGAAAAAGAATAAATAATCCCTCTGATCTTTATCAGACTAGAAAGTGTTTTTTTTGTTGTTGTAATTTTTATAATGCACTTGCTGGTTTTAAAAGTGCGTTAAAAATTAATATGTTGAGATCTAGTTTAAGAATAATATTAGAAATTACTTAAATTTTATAATAAATTTATTTCTTTTCACTATTTTCATTAATATACATGAATATATGAATTAGTTATAAGCGATTTGTAACGAGGAACAGAGAGTAAATGTAATTTTTTTTATAAAATGAGTAAATGAAACGTAATTAATTAAATGCAGGATCAGTTTTGGAAAACTATCACAAATTTTTGAAACATCAATTTCAAATAACCGATATAACTGCTTTTTTAAATATTCGGGAATTAGGTAAAATGCTCTAATTGTATCAATAATTTGGAGCTTTTTTCTTATTAATTCTCTTACCAGTTTACATTTCTCTCATGAGTTATAAATTTGTGTTTGGATATATTAATATTAACATTACACGCACTAATGTAAGTCACATTTGTTCAAATAATTATCTAAGACACGGTTGGAACTGCACATCAGAAGCTTAAAAGCTATTCAAATATTTCAGTGTTTGTAGTTTATTAAATATTAATATACATTATATAGAGAACAGTGCAACCGACCGTATAATGACTTGTGATATCTCTGGGTTAGAGCGAAGGAAATAACTAGCAAGCAAAAAACATGTGAGTCCTCACGTTGTTCATGCTAACACTAACTAAATTACTCATCTTTTAATAGCCAAATTTTTAAAATGTATCATTACACATTTGATTCACTGGCTGTATGAAAACTAGTCAAAGTTCTCATTATAAAACTTCGTTTATATCAGGAAAAAATTATTGGGTTGATTGAGATGAGTTTGTCTTTTATTCTCTTTTCCTAATTAATCCAGGACTAGTCAACTAAAAAATGCAAAAATATTTTGTGCTTTTTTTTTCCCAAATAAACAAGCGAACTCAGGTTAGCTCATTTTCCTTATATGTGACATAATGCATCTGTGTCCCACTTCCCGCAACGTAGAAGTTTTAAAAGACGGTAAAACATAATATAAAAAAATAAAATATAAAAAGGGTTAGAAAAATGGAAGAATGAATCAGTTAGATTAGAGACTTAAATAGATTGGCTTTATTTCTGAGCCTGAGGAGGGTGGTGAAAAGAGGGCATGATTTGAGGGACCGCTTGAATCTTCCTTCCCTTCCCTTCTGGGCTCAACAAATTCGCCCAAAACGACAAAGTTTATTGTTACGAACTTCACGGCCACTTTGACGGAATTACCCCTCCCTAAGCATGCCCCGCCTGTACTTACATTCGGAGCCTTTTTGTTCCCACCTTCCTTTCTATCTCTGTAACAGCCTCTTTCACGCTCCCTCCCCCCTCTCCCTTACTTTCCACAAATTTGAATTTTTGTTTCCTTCTTCCCATAAATTATCATTTTGAAGAAAAAGTTTTAAAATTTTGCTTGCAGTTTATTTAATCTGAAATATGGAGACTAAGTCTGGCCCAGTCACGTGTTTGGAGTGAACCTCCTAATAATTGTTCTGAATATTCTTAATTTTACCAATCTAATTAATTTGGTCAATTAGGACAGACTATCTCTTTAATAACCTGTTTAAAAATGTGCTCATACGTCATCAAAACTTTTTTTTAAAAAAGAGTAAAATGTTGTAACTACTATTCTAGTTTACGTTAATTATATAGATCTTTTCTCTATTTTAAAAATATACAGTTTAATCCAATCAGTTAATAATATTAAGAATATTCTAAAACGATTCTAAAAATATTATTTTTAACTGAAATTTATATTAAAATGAATTTAATTTACTTTTTTACCCCTCCTTTTAATAAATTCTGAAGTTATATTTTTATGATTACGCAAATTTTATTCAATTAAAACAAATATAAAAGATTTGATTAAAAATTTAACAAAGATGTGTTTAAAAGTTTTGAATGATAAATCTAAATAATTTATCTAATCTTTCAAACTTATATTATTTAAACTTTACGATAAACAAAAACTAAATATTTGAAATATGTTTTTACAATTTAAAAGAAATCAAAGTAAATAATTTCTAATGAATGTGATAAAAATTAAAATTAAAATTTTTTTATTTAAATCAAAATTAATAAATTTTATAACATATTAGAAAATTTAAAAATATACGTATTAGAGTTATTTTTTTATTTTATAATTTTTTTTTGAAAAATATAAATGTCTAAATAATTAGTGTTAAGAAGGGGCATTTTGGTTAAAAATTAATTTAAAGTCAAACTTAACAGTCAATTAATGATTTGAATATATGAAAATGAAATATTAAATATAAGAGAGCCGTTTGTATAATCTACGTTTTAATTTTAAGAAAGTTTCACTTTTTCTTTAACTGTGTTTTGAGATAAGTAGGTATGCTCCCAAACACATGCTAATTAATTTGAGACGGGAATAATGATAATATATAATTCTCATTAACATGACTATATGAGATTAAAAGATAATCTTACAGATATTAAAGGATGAATTTTGAAATAACATTTATACTACTTAAAGTTGATAAAAAAATTATTTAGACAGGTTGGTAACTATCTAATCAAGATAGGTCATTTATTTTTCTTGCACAAAGACTGTTTTATTTAATTTTACGAGATGTGTTATCAGGCTCTAATGCGCTGGTAAATATTCTTACAGCTCATATATTATCTCACATCTCCATCCCAGTCACAAGGCAGAAGCATCACATGTCGTCCACGTGTCCTCAGACATCTAGAATTTCACTGCATTTTTTAAGTTAACCAACTCATCAATTTGTTTTTTCATATTTAATTTACTTTTTATCATCACATTATATCTAGTATATAAGAATTATTTCTTTTAATGTGATTTTTTTTCCAACGAACACTTTGAATCTATGACTTTATTTATGATATCTCACTCAATCTGAACGTGATAGATTTTTTTTTAATACACTTATTAAGTATATGGGTAAGCGGATTACTTAGAAATAATCCTCCTAAGCCTGATATGATTTTTTAAATATAATATTTAAATTATATCTTTATTTAAAGAAAATCAAATACTTTACCCTTGACTACCACTTGTTAGTTTCCTTGACAGTTTAAACAAATTATAAGAGAAAAAATTGTGAAAATGGTAAATGGTAAAACTGCAATAAAATTTCCCCATTCACCAAAGTAAGATCCGCTTTTTCACCTCTGGCTAGTGAGAGCAGAAGCTCAACAGTCACACCAACTGTGAATCCGAGCCGTAGGATAATGATCATCTCGACACGTGTCACACGAGTGTCACCCTAAAATTTTCACCCAAGTCCTACAGTAGTCCATAAATACCCTCCACCCTCTTAGCTTTTTCCTCACAATTTCTCCTACAGTCTCTCTTTCTCTCTCTTATTCACTGAGCTTGTTCCTTCCTTGATCTGTGCTGCTGCTGCATGGATTTCGAGCCAAACTTTCATGAGAGTTTCTCTCTGCTTTCTGGGCTTTTCCCAGAAAATCCCCCAAAGTCTCAACCATTTTCAGTCGCATTGTCACACATTCAACCTCCTTCCCAGGATAATCCGCCACTGTTTCCCACCGACCAAAATTCCCACCACCATTTTCATCACTACCCTCCTCAGCTGGATCTGAACCGGTCAAACCCAAACCCGATCTTTCCGAAGGGGGCTCCATCTTCTTCCTTCAATATTCCTTACTCTCATCCCACTACTGTTCCTTTCGATTCTGCCTACCCAAATGAGCCCTTCAAAATCGACGCCTTACATGCTTGCCACCCTGGTGGTCGGGCCTTCTGGGATTTCTCGCACAAGCTATCTCTTCCATCCGATTCAGCCTTGAACCCCCAGATGGGCCCCTCCCTGTCACCATTATACCATCAAGCTTATGGATCACCGTTCAAACCTAAGCTTCAGGACGAGCTCTTTTTGTTTTTCCCTGAGAATAATCGATGGCAGGACGAAGGTCGCTCTGATCACAGGGACGATGACAGGAACAAGAAGCTGCAGATGCGTAAAGGTGGTATTCTAAAGAATACCAATATCATCAAAGGCCAGTGGACACCAGAAGAGGACAGGTATGGCTAAAGATTACAACTTTTTTCTTCCTTTATTTCCTTATGTTGCTGTCCAATCTTCCATAGGTGTTTGACTAAATCACTTCCATCTTTTGGGGGAAAATGTGTTGTTCGATTCAATTTTTTCGCAGAATGTTGGTGCAATTGGTGGAGCGATTTGGGATGAAAAAATGGTCACAAGTTGCAAAGGCTTTGAATGGAAGGGTGGGAAAGCAGTGTAGGGAGAGGTGGCACAACCATCTGCGTCCGGACATTAGGGTTCCTCCTCATCCTACTTCCTTCCATCATATGCATATTACACACACACACACACAGAAGACCTTTTTCCAACAGAAATTTTATCCTCTCCATATTTTTTCTCGGCAAACATTATAAGACAAGAAGAATATATAATTAATGAAATGCATATATGGATATTTAATTATTAATTAGTTCAAAGTTTTATAACGGAAACTTGACAAGTGTTCTGATAGGTATGGTAAATACGACGTCTCCTTTCTTATCATTCTTATTCTAACAAGCTCGGAAGCATGAAATATGTGAATGCTCGCCTGTATATAATTGCAAAATTTGTCCAGTTTTGTTTCATAGCGAGTCTGATCATGTGAAGAGGATCAATTTTGATTGTGTTTTAGCTAGGTTTTTGTTGTGTACTAATGAAATAGTTTGTTTTATGCCAAGCCGAAAGTTAAAACTACCTAGCTAACGCGGTTTGTAATGTCTGCTTATACATGCTCTCATGCACGTTACTCTTGGACATTGGCCGGCTTGAGCTTTGAACATGTTCAATTATATATTACAAAAAAAAAAACACATATAAATGTCTTAACTAACGTTTGATTGTAGAGTCTTAAATCCATATCTGAACACGAAGTTCAGTGAAGTATTCATTAATTGACGTGTGAGTGATAATTACTATAGTAACAGTTTAATCTGATACAAAACTAATATGAATATTGCAGAAGGAGGCATGGACGGAGGAAGAAGACATGATCCTGATCGAAGCCCACAGGGAAGTAGGAAACAAGTGGGCAGAAATCGCTCGCAGGCTTCCGGGAAGAACAGAGAACACCATCAAGAACCACTGGAACGCCACGAAGCGTCGCCAGAACGCCAAGAAACACAGAAACAAGGGATCCACATCGAGGCCTTCACTTCTTCAGGAATACATCAAGCAAGTCACTTCAGGCCAAGGAACCTCAAAGCAGCCGAAGATCAAACAAGAACAAGCCGACGAGGAGGAGGAGGAGTTCGTTTACTATAACAACAATCATCATATGAACAACGTTATAGTTCGCTACGAGAGCGCCTCGGACGATGACGACACCAGCTCTGGAGAATGGGAGGTGGAGATGTATGAGGCGGAGGAGGGAGACGCCGGCGGCGATGAGGATGATCAGGAAGAGGAAGAGAAGACGGCGTATGAGAACAGTAAGGATAATGCGGCGGAGATGAACGTGTTTGTGCGAGAGGAGGGCATGAAGAAAGAGATGGATCTGATGGAGATGATCTGTGGTCCCAGCAAGTACTAATCAGGGCGCTGAATATTCTGTATCTCTGTCGTTATCTTTGTTTTTAGATGTTTCCGAGGGCGGCGCAGGTTTCTGGAGCAGAAGGGCAATGACGAGGATGTAAATATTATTAAAATCATCAGCTATAATCCCCTTTGAGAAAGAACAAGTTCTTTTCTTTTCTTTTTAGTTATTATGTGGGTGTGACGTCCTCTTATCTGTTGTCAGCTTGTGAGTTTGTGACTATTTTAATGTTATAATCATTATTATAATATATGTTTTGCGCGTTAGTTTCTTCTTTTTTGATCTATCAAGCCTGTCCCCTTCACTCTCTCGGCTTTCTCACGTCTTTTTGACTATGACGATTATCACATAAAGACAGACCGACATCCTAGGGCTCGTATATAGTCATTTATGGAAATTTTAGACTGAAGTTCATCATTGGAGAAATGAAATCGCAGAAACATGAATAAACTTATATATATATATATATATATATAAACTCAGATACGGTTTGAGCGGCAATGTAATACTGAAGAGAGTTGAAACCTGTCCTTTTACTGTATATAAATGAAATGGCGAAGTCATAACAAAAAGAGAGAGAGAAGGAAATGGCGGCAAAAAATTAAGACAATAATGTTCTCAATATATATACATATATATATATATATAGGGAATGGGAGATACTGTATTTTGTAGCATTTCTTTTTGCCTGGGCACTTAATTAACTCATAGTAGATTTGTCTAGCAGTTTGGACGAATTTCGTTTCAAAATTTTCAATTTCTCTTGGTTGGTTTTTGTTTTTGACCAGATGATGCTCTACCCTTGGCACCTTGATTAACTTACATGTATAGAAAACCATAATTCATTTGTAGAAATTGTTTGAAATGAATTATTCATGAAAATATGACGACAGAGCACATTTAATTCAGTGGTTATCTTATTTTTTTTTTTAATATTACAAATTCTTTTATATTTTTTCTGTTGACAAATATCACTATCTCATTTGATTTATTTTCCAAGATGTCCTATAAATTATATCGAAGTACATCCTCCTGCTAAACTTTTGTTCCAGGAAAGCTCACAATTACGCAAGAAAAAGTCATCTCACATTATGGCCAAAAAAAAAATCTCATATTAATTCGATGGAAAAAGAAACAAAAACTATTTGATATATAGTTCTTTTTGTTATTTTGACATCTCGCCTCATTCACCTATTCAAAATAAACAAATGGCATTTCATGAAAAATTACTATCTCCAATCCTAATTATAAGACTTTGTTTGTAGTCTATAAATAAGATTTTATAAATAGAACCGAAGGTAGTAGTATAATATCAATTCTGTAGAAGTCTAGCGCTACATTCATGTGTCAGTAACTATTAGTTACATGTAACATGTTCAGCTTATATGGATTTCCTTTATTTCCTTTGCTTTACACTATAAAGTGATTTGTATGGTCAAGGAATGTGATGAGAGAAGATGGAAGAGTTTAACTTTGGCCCCAGAATAAAATGAAGAATCAGTTTCAGAGTCAAGTGGTTTCCTACGAGTCAAAGAGTTATGTTATGGCATATGCTTCAAGTTTCCAGGTTTAATTTCAGCTATATATATATATATATATATATATATATTGTGCCAAGTGACAAAATTCAAGTCACATGCTTTTATATCTCTTGTTGTACAAATTGGTGCTTCTATGAATGTGATTTTCTCTGTATTGCTGACATGGGGTAAGGTTTTTGGACAACTCCAGGGAGAGGGTGATCATGATAATTAATGAGGAAAATAAATAAATTATTCTTTGTACTACTCAAAGGCATATTTTCAATCAAATTGAACAATAATTAATAATCAAAGTGTTGATCTACATAGACATTTAGTCTATTGAAATGGAAAATCCCGGTTTTAGATGCTCGAGAAGTTAGCTCATTATGCTGGCGGGCTCTAAATTTCATAAAACCAATAATGTGGTCAAAAGAACATAGACTTTTCCCTTAAATGATACTCCTCCGATTCTTAATATAGGACCCAATTCTTGAATTGGTTTTTATCTTAAATATAAGACCCATTTTTCATATTTATCAATTTTCTCTAAATTACCTTTATAAATACTCCCTCAACCATAATCAAGTAGAAGAGGGAGAGGGGATATTAAGAAAGATGATTATAGTGTTTTAGGAAAAATGTGTCACTTTTCTTATAATTAGCTAATTTACCTAACTTCTTTAATCTAATTAAATTAGTTAAACAGGTCTTATATTAAGGACCGGATGAATATATATTATTCATTTATATATATTCATTTACACACGCACGTACAGCACTTTCTTTTCTGTGTATATATGTTAATTTCTCTTTGACTGAAGAGATGTAAGAAACATAACGTCAACACACATCCACATGAAAATTTCTTCATGACTTGTTCCCCCCCATGATGTGGGCCTTTCATCTTGCGCAGAATCAGATGCACTTATTTATATATATATAATTCAATGTCTGATGAGAAAAAAATATCAATAGATTAAACAAACACCGGGAAGAACATGTTTTGTCAATTTAATTAGTCTAGCTTACCTAAACCAAATTTTTTTCATGTACGGGTCAGTATGGGTAAAGGTAAGTATTGGTGCTTTGTGTTAGAGATCGGAGTAGTAAATGTTGAAGGGCTCAGGAATTTAATTTTAATTTTAATTTAGAGGCAACACGCATGTGCGGAGTGTGGTCGATATCCCCTGGTAAAAATATTTTTCCCCTGCGCACTATTTTTTTTCCCCCTGGTAAAAATATATGCATTGTTATTTCAATAAAGGGAACACGTGTAAATTAAATAGAGATTAAATCGAGGTAGTCAGATTATCCTTTATTTAATAAATCTCATTAAAACTAATTTTACTTAATTTTTAAAAAAAATACTTAAATAAGAAAGAAACATGTTTATAAAAAGTTAAAAACCAAAACAATTTTTAGTTGTTTTCTTGTTTTGTTTTTGTTTTTGTATTTCATATTTTTTTGCTCGCGAAAATTAGTAAACCCTTTCTTTTCTGTTTGATGACCTTTTTTATTTTAATTTGAGGAATTTTCACCCTGTGACCCATTATATTTATTTTTAAATGTAATTTCTTAGAACATCAAAACAACTTTTTTTTTGTTTCTAAAACTTATTTTAAAAGACAACTTCATGAAATTGTTTTGGGGGGGGGGGCAGCCCCTTATTTTGTCCTCAATCTAACTTATAGTGTACATATTAGATAGGCCTCGTCTGACAGAGCGGTAAAAATCCTCTATAAATACATTTCACATAATTGAGATAAAATTTCTCTTAAATGCTTATCTCGTATTTCATCCCAAACACCCCTTATTTATAAACTGTTCCAAACGGCTTTTAATAAAAAAGAATTTAAAAGATGTTTGGAAGTGAACCAAATTATGATTTCAAAAGTGTTTTTACGGTTTACGAAGTAAATATATGAAAGAATTTGATTCGTTTTACAGAAAAATACTTCTTAGAAGCGCTTTTATGCATTCCCAAACACCCCCTAAGTATTTGCTAAATCAGGAATGAGGAATCAGTCTAAAATTGTAAATTCCACACAGATGGATCTCGTTTGCCCTTTCCGACACTCGCATCAAACAAGAAGAGGGGTCCACAGCCCACTAGCTCTATACTCGTTGCTTTTGTCTTTTGACCCCAAGAATCTCATATCTTGTTTATAAGAGGTTTTTTTTTTTTTTTTTGCAAGCTCTAGAATTAGTGCATATTCAAATAATCAAACATCACAAGAGGAAAAAAAAATAAAATAAAAGTATAAAATTAACTAATAAATAAGCCGAGTGCAATTACCCATTCTACTTAAAAATCCACACATAACAAATACAGAAGTAGTAAGCTTTTGAACCTAAAAAGAACCCCTACATCAAGTTCACGTACACGTGCAAGGCGGCAATCCAAGGCTTCAAAATTTGCATGCAATCACGAACAAGCTTCTTCCCATGCTGTGTTCAAGAATGAACAATGCATATATAAATTGACAAAGCACTGGAGCAGCATCTTCCTTGCCTTTAAGGCATTACTTAACTTTTCTCTCTCGCTCTCGAAAATCTATGCCGCCTTCGGCTTTATCCGCTTAGTCCTCGAATAGAAGAATACGCCACCAAGTGCCACAGCAGTTCCTGCATTAACACCCATCAATACAAACACATTACAGGTTCTCTATCTAACCGGCCATTTCTATACTAGCGTCCTGAGATTACAAGTGGAATTGAACCCGTAACTTCCAGCTTACAGGGGGTATTTGTTCCCCTAGACTAACCAGAGACTTACCAATGGTGTTGGCCAGCGAGACAGGAGTCTGAAAGAAGATAATTGAGGATGCTATGACAACCACGCGCTTCACACAATTCCCGACTGAGTGCGTCACTGGGGATACCATCTGTAATATCCCATAAGAAACCTGCCACCAAAGTTTCAAAAGTTGCATCACTGTATCAGGGCACATGAAATCACACCTACATATCACATGTGTGTGTGTTTGTGAACACCCAATATACATTATGCTCATAACTTTTTGGTGTCGCGACGTTTCTGGAAATAATGTCCTGTTGGAGGTTGATATGGGATCAAGGGAGAAAACCTAGATCCATGTTGTATAATGATACAAGTTTTCAGGATCACATGAAGTTTGGCATCTAATTAATGCCTGGAAGCTATAGGGAACAGATATTTTTTCTGTTCGTAAATGGATTTGAGAACTTTTCTGTGACTGTAACACCAAAAATTTAAGTGCAAAGTGGTTTCTGCTGGGGAACAAGGTAGAGTGGAAACTACACTTGCATAACAAATAGAAGAGACTTCGGGAACAAAATAGATGGACTTGGAAAAATAGAACGCACTGCTCAGCATGTGACAGTGGAAAGAGCAGGAAGACCCGAGAATCAAGATCTCATAGAATAAACTAGAAAGAGCCTTAAAACAAGATATTTTTGAAGGGCCTCACCTGTTGGTACGCATGGAAGCAGAACCCAGCCAGCACCAATTTCACACATAGCTCTCTAATATTCAATCCTTGGCTTGCCTAGAGCAGAGTGAACACAACACTATGTTATTTGGAAAGTAGTCTTCCTTAAGCTTAAGTGCTTGGAAGGGAAAAGTAAAAACAGTGAAACTGAATATAGCGGGGTGAACAGAAATTCAAGTTGCTCTTACAGCAGATTGCAGGAACGAAGGTGTAAACTTAAACCCTTCCATAGAAATGGCAAATGGGATTGCCAGAATGAAGGAAATTATTGATATAACTGAGTAGAGGTTTATGTTGTCCAAGCTTTCCTGACAAGAGCGGATTCTGGTTATTAGCAACACTGTGAAACAGCTCCATAATAAGATGAATTTGTGGCCTCCCGAGAAAAATATCATGAATGGAAATAACAAAATCTTTTTGACAAAATAGCGCCCCCCCCCCCCAAAAAAAAGAAAAAGAATAAGCGCTACCAGACTAAATAGAAAGTCTTTACCTCTTCATTGACCATAAGTTTTTTGCTCAACACATTCCGTGATTGGTTGATAAGGTTAGATGCCATAGCACTACCGAAACCAATCCTGTTTCGAGAAGAAACATAATAATCAAGATTTGCTTGAATAACTTTTTAATTAATATTTTTGAGATGCGATACCCCTAGCAGAATCATTCAACATTCTCCCTAAAGAAACCTCCAGGATACAACTTTAGTTTGACCATTTACCAATTGAAAGAGACTTCAGTCATTGATGCCAGTGCCACTCCACCAACTATTGGCACGAGGGAAGAAACCACCCTAAAAGTAGGTTGCTGTGTGAATAGAGGACTGGAATAAAGTCAGCTGATTAAAGCCATAAAATTTCCAAGAACTGATTCAATATAAGTCCAGACAGCATCAATTATTGTAGCACGCAGCAGAAAGAAGAACACAACTATGGTTTTGCATGAATATCAGCGGAAACATATACTCATGCAGTACGTCTAACTTATAATGGTAACATAGAGCCAATAACTAAATAGCCCAAACCATTAGGGAAAAATTTGCAAGTAATTTTGTGTTCACATCCATTTATAAAAAATAACCTTAACAACTCATGAGAAGTTAAAAATTACGATATGTTACATATAAAGTGGAAGGGGGTGCACAAGCACCAGTAGATAGCCTTTCAGGCCGCAGGTCATGATTTTGTATCACCATACACAACTTTTGACAACGTTGTTCATTCATTACAACTCTGTTCACTCCATAGCCATAATTATCTGCAGAGGAGTGAGAACCACCAAGTATTCACTGTTCAGAATTGAAAAAACCATGGCATTGGGCAGAAGCTTTTTGGAGTTATTCTCAATTCATTCATCAATGGCCTCAATTTGTAAACTAGAACTCCCAAGACAACGCATAGACAGGAGAAAGCTAGATGAATGCCCCAGTGAAGGGGAAGAAGAAACAGAACGCAACCATTCGTGCTCCACAATAATTTTTCATGGTAGAAGAGGTAATTCTGACACGACAAGTACAAGCACGAAGTGGTCTATCCTATCAGAGCATCAAGGAAAACACAACTAGGAAACAAAAATTCACCAACATTACCTCCCCAAGAAAAAGAGAAGAAAGAACAACTGTAAAGAGAGGCTCCAAAGCTTTGATTGTGTGAGTGAAAGACACAGCAACCTTTCCAAAGCTAATGTTGGTCAAAAGGTTACCTACTGTGTGAGCCACAGCCAGCGGAAAGATTGCTACAAGCTGAGAATAAAGATGTAATTGTACATGACTAAGAGTAAGCAGTATGGAAGCAAAGTAATTCCCACTGGAAAGACTAATCCATTTTCATTCAAGTACCTGTGCCCGACTAATCTTTGGTTTGGGGTAGAGATTAAAAGTCCAGATCAAAGTAATCATCAGCGCAGTGTAACCAAACTGAAATGCTGTCACTGTCGCTGGAAATGGATATACTTTTAGAACCTAATAAACAATCAGCGCATTGTCATTGAGAACAAGAAAAATAGTCGCAAGTAAGGAACCAGAATTCCTTTCAAGAACTAATGTGTGTGCGTATTTAGAATTTCAAGATTTAGAGTCTAAACTTTCTTTATTTCCCTCCCATCAGAAGATTTTCATTCATGGTCTGCCCCGATAATTGCGGATGTGATGTTAAAATGAAGCAGAAATTGAGAGTCTGTTCATAGCATAGAGCATATGAAGATTCCACACCAAAGAGGAAGCCCAGGCGTAACGAATGAAAAGCTTAAATCAGACAGTAAAACACAAATGATGAAGACGAAGTACCTGTTTGTTGTAGACGTTGAAGTAAATGTTCAAAACATACCAAACTCCGAACATGGCCCCAAGCTGTAGCGTCCGAATCAAAGTATTGGGTTTGCTGGGCTCATGACTGTTAGCTTCAGGAACCAAAGCAGCTGTGACCTTAAAGGTTACATTTTTTCGACTTGGAACGAGAAATGAAGCTGATTTTTGAGCTCCAACACACAAATAAGAAGGTGGGCAAGAGGCTTTCCCACATGGAAGTCCAGAGAAAGAATGGGAATTTGTGGTGGCTAAAGAAGACAATGCGTGCGAGAGTTGAGGAAGCTTAGTTATGGCGTTTCGAGACGAAGGTGATATTGTTGGAGTCATAGAAGACAGTGACACCGAAATATTCAGCATTTTTTGGGTTCAGCAGTGTCAATGAAAAGAGGGAAGAACAGAGGAAGAAAACATAAATCACTGCATGAGGAGTGAAGACAAGAAGCTGCGAGAAGAAAAGGGTAAAACGACTTCGTTGAACCACCGACCAGCTCCGCTCAAGATGGAGAATGAACCAAGCAGAGGAACATCAGAGAAAATGAAATACTCCACAAAGCTGCCGGACGTTTATTAGAAGCCGAAGATTGTCAATTCAGGAGATGAAAAGGGCAAATGAGCTAAAGAGCCATTTTTCACTTTTCAGCAGCGAATTAGCGAGCTCCTAGCCCCACGGTTAAGCATGGCCGTATTCTGCAGTTGAAATCTTGAATACGCATGGAATATATATAATATTAAAACTCGGTTCATGAATCATGAACCAGAATAAAAGGGTGTTTCCACGTTCTTAAAACCGCGATTTCAGAAAAATTTTTTTTCACAAACCGAAATAATCTTCTCTTCATATTTATTTTATAATCTGTAAAAATATTTCTGAAACTTATTTTGATTTCTAATCAAACACCTCTAGAGTTATAAACCACCTTGGCAGGCAGGAGCCAGACGGTTCTTTTTCGCATAAATGTTCATCGACGAGACATACGAACTATTAAAAAAATAATATTGGTGTTATGCGTGGGGAGTAGCGATATCAATTATCTTCGAGTTCAATTTTAGCATAGAAGTCAAATTGCTATTATAATATATTACATAAATTTATACTCCTCCGGTCCTATTATAAGACATAATTTGATTTTTATTTGGTCCTAATTATAAGACCCAATCCATTTTGTCTCTTATATTTATGCATTTTTTTCCAAGATAATCCTTCTAATAATGATAGTTTTAGCCAATATACTTAATTAGCAAGAATATTTTAGGAATGACAACACTTATTTATTATAAATAACCAACTTAACTTACTTCCTTAATTTCCTCAAATAAGTCAATTGGGTCTTATAATTAGGACCGGAGGAGTATCTTTTTACAGATATATAAATTTATACTCTTCCGGTTCTTAATGTAAGATTTATTTAATTAATTTAATTAGATTAAAAAAGTTACATATATTAGTTAATTATAATAAATATAAGATATTTTTATTAAATTATCATAATTATCTTCTTTAATATTCCTATTCTTTTTTCTATTTGATTATGAATGAGTGAGTATCAATAGGTGTAATTTAGAAAAAAATCAACTTCACAATTAGTTCCTGAATTAAAGATAAGAGAAGTATTTTATATTTATATCATCTTGACATTGAAATGAAGATTAATTTTTTTAATTCAACATAAACAATAATATATAGAACATCTCATAAGTGGACCAGGTTTTATTCTTTTAAGGGCTTGTTTGGAATTACCATTGGGTTCTTCAAAAACAGTTTTTTAATTATAATTTACAGAATACAAAACAAATATATGGAAAGAATTATGAATAATGTCATATAAAACTTATGAATAAAATAACTTATTAAATTTTTTATCCTCCCTCCCAGACACTATATTTTTGAAAACTATTCTCATTTAATAATTTTTGAGTGACGTGAGAGTAGAAGAAAGAGACTGGGAATTGAAGCAATCCCAAAGATGAGGCCGACAAGAGAGGAAGGCGTGGGGTGGGTCATTCGTACAAGAAATGGGGTACTTGGGAGGGACATGACAAAACCGATGGGGTTAGAATTTGAGGCTCTCGTTCTGCGCTTTCCCCGTCAGTGATTGGACCACCCCCTCGCTCGGATCACACCATCTCGTCATTTCCGTGCCGTGTGCTTCAATTAACTCCAATGCATGGATGGAGTTTTCTTATCATTTATTCCCTTCCAATAGTGTGTGTTTTTATTTAAAATAAAAAAGTAGTACTCCTGTGTGTTTCGAAAAATATCTATACGAACATTAAAAACATTACTATTTGAAATATTTTTAATTTAACCAGACTTCAATTAAACAAGCTTATTTTCAGCCGTTGTCACTCTTCTTTGGTTATATGGCACAACATATAATTGAAGACAGGTTATGCCTGGTTTGAAAAAAAAAATTACACTGGCTGGATATGAGTTGAATTTATTGAGTTTATTGCCAAATTTTGAAAGCTGTTTTCACTTTGTTAATTAGGGTGTAATTAAAAAAAATCATAACAAATACTACGTCCATTTTAATATAAAAACTAGTTGGTTAGTTTAAATAAATTAAAAAAAGTAATTAAGTTACTTATTTGTAATAAGTATCTGTTGTTTTTTTTAAAATATCTTTACTGATTACGTGTATTAGTTAAAACTATCATGTAATGAATCATTTAACATGTATAGTTATTATAAAGACCATCTTATAAAAATAAATAAATATGAGAGATAAAATGAACAACAAATTAAAAGGCAAATACACACACGTTGCTTTCCCCGATTTATAATTGCATGTCTTTCTGGTATTTCCTGGCTATTGCTAGGGATATGAGATTATAAATTGTTTGAACCGGACAACTTAAAAATCCACTTTGACCAAAAAAAAGTGAAGTCACGCTGTGCTCGACGCAGACACGCGGGGAGTAAAGATCATGTGAATACGTAGTATCTCGAGGGGCCACAGTCCCTGCGCGTGATCTACCCATCTAAACACCTGCTTATTCCATGATTAACGAAATTAGTTGAGATTAATTATTTTTTAAAAAATATTAACACTATCCCCAACAAAAATTACTAATGAGAAGAGTTTTATTAAATATAAATTTTTATAATTAGTCAGGATACCATGTGAGGAAAATTAATCCCCCGACAAATCATATTATCTTTTGAAACGCACTATAATCTTTATGATAAGAACCTGCGGAGTAGAGTATTATTAGACTGAAAAAAAAGAAACATAACTACTAAAAAATCTCAACAATAAGATAGCACCTTCTAATAACAAGTTACGGTGTAAAAAAGACGCCTACTCATTTATTATCAAAACTTTTTTATAATTTTTTTGTTTAGACCTTACAATAATTCTGTTTGTCATTATTTAGGGAGTGTTTGGCAATATGAAAATCATGGTTTCAGAAGCACTTTTCTGCAAAACGAGACAAACTCCTTTACATATTTACTTCATAAACCGTAAAAGCACTTCTGAAACCATGGTTTGGTTTCTATCTAAACACCCCTTTAGTCATACTAGTTTTCTCAAATGAGATATGAAAGAGTACGTTAGTACAAATGATGATTTCATAATCATGAGTTTTTAAGTCTTACCAGCCTACCAATACCCCAGAGGCTGGCCCAGGACCCTCTGAAAACATCCATGCTGTCGCATTTCATGATCATTAGACTTGTTAGTCAATGGTTCGGCCAGCCAGATGGTGTTAATGGGCCAAGCCATGCCAGAAAAATAGCCCATGACCTGTATCCGGCCCAATTATATGCTTTTTCCCCTATTCATAAACACAATATATACAACCTGTTTACTGAAGCGTTTAGGGGATGAAAAGTTAGCTTCGGGGCATGATAAGCTGGCTTATAAATTGGGAAGCTGTTTGTTATAATTTTTAACCAATCTGATCTGTACATCAAAAATTACTTTTTTAAGTACGATTGTAAAAGTATTTAAAATTTACTTATAATTTATGCAAAAGCAATTTTTTGGGACTAAAAGACATTTTACTTTTATGTTTATATTGTTTTTATGCTTCTTTCTATGTTTAGTTGTTTGTTTTTAATTTCCTGTTAAGTGAAAATAACTTTTAACATTTTTATAGTATTTTTAATTTTTAATATTATTTTCATTTTATATTTACAGAAATTATGTTGAGTATATTATCCAATTAATTATGTAATATTATTTGGTTCAAAAAGTTTCACATTACTGTGATTTCTAATTTAAATATATTTTATTCATTAAATATAATTTTTTTCTTATTATAATAATTTAAAATTATTATATATTGTAAATTTATATTTTAAATCATTGTTCATTATTTAATAAAAGTCATACTTATTTTAGTCATTCTAGAAACTAAACTTATTTATTCAATCGTAATTCAAACAATTTTTTTATTTTACAAACTAATCTTTATAAAAGTCAACCCAAATAGAATTCATATTTTCCAATCTCACTTTCCTAAAAGTTATATTAAAAATAAGTTATTTTTTCCGCTAATAATCCAAATTGTCTTTGGCTCTTTGCATTAGAATTAGCAAGAGCTTAGGTCTCTCTCGGATTCAAATTTTTGTTGAGAAAAATATTTACATTTACTATCTCAAATAGAATTGTCTGAAATAAGAAGATTTTTATGTTTGCCAATAAAAAATTAGCAATATTTTTAAACAAATTTATTTTTTTTCGAATTGAGAAGTTGTTATAAATAATGATAATTTCTAAGAAAGAAAATTATTTTTTGTCGCAACAGAGCGAAATATCATTATCAACTGAATACAGGATAACAACAAAGTAAAAAAAAAAAAAAAAAAAAAAAAAAAGAAGATTTATTTGACAAAAAAAAAAGGCGGTAAACCGCAAAACCTGCAACGTGGCAGATTTTAACGAGCTCAGAGGCACTGATGAGGCCTTAAAATTGATGGCGTGGATCAGTGAAACACGAGGACGACACCGCAACAGAGCCTCGGCAATAAGCAAACGTGGAAATGCGGCATGAGTTTAACATGAATTCAATAGTCAAAATCCTTAATTCCACTATTTACAGATAAATCCTTCAATATTTATTTTCTCAAAAATTCCCCGAAATTGTCGCAATTCATCTTTCCCGTTCCTTAGCCGGACGGTAAGGTTGCAGGGAAGACAAAGCCAGGAGTCGCTGCTTCTCATTCATTTATCTATCTGCAACAGTTCAAAAGCTTGATTCCTATTTTTTTCCCATCTCCGGTAGGCGATTACCGTCTCATTGGCGCCAACCTGTTTCGTGACGTTTGGTTGTTCCCCACCGCTTCCACAGTTCACATATTTCTATCAGGTTTTCACCCGCATTTAATTTCGTTAGGGCTCATTGAAATGTTTGATTGTTTCTGCTTCCAACGATTATCTTTTGGCGTGTCATTGAAATCAAGGTTGCTTGTTGCATGAGTTTGATGATGCTGGTGGAAAATCAACTATTGTTTGCCCCGTGGGTGTATCTTCATTTCACTTGATGATATTGTAGAGTTTTACGGAATGTTTGGAAGAAGAGATACCGTTAATAAAATTCACATCCTTTCTGGATGTAAATGTAGCCGGCTCTACTCCATTGGTTTCATTCGGGATGCATAATCATTAAATGAGCATACTTTAATTTGGGACTTTCATTTGGAGTTGCATAATGGAGAAAGTTTATCAATTAATTACTAGACAAAATTACTGAACGGGTGTCTGCATGCAGAGTCCTCTCTGCAAATGTATTGTCATGTTACAATTTACTGCGCTCATTTCGGGAAGCGTAACACACTCGTTAGAATTTCTTCATGCACTAATTAGGATCTGCATACTTAATTACTCACTATCAGCGTGTAAGAGAACCATATTATTGGTTGCCATTTTTTTATATTTGTCATGAAATATACTTTGGGTGCCGAGGGTCTGTTAATTCTTAGCTTCAGTGCTAAGTCTAAAATTATTTTAATATGAGGCCGCGGTCCTATTGCAGGATGCAGCTGCGGAATACCGCACATGTGACCAACATTAGTTATTGGTTAAACTGGAGGGTCTTACTGTGTTCAGCTTCAGTTTTGCTTCCTATGATTATTGCATTGTTGATCATATGGAAGCGTGAAGGTTCAAGGCATTTGGCCCCTGCAAAAGGAGATAACCAGCAGGACAGGAACCGGATTTTATGCGGTGATGAAGCATGGAAACCATGCCTAAAAGGAATTCACCCTGTCTGTTTGCTAGTTTATCGGGTTGCTGCATTCGTTTTGCTTTTAGTGACATTAGTGGCTAAAATTCTCTCTAATGGTGGTACCATTTATTTATACTACACTCAGTAAGTCGTTCTGGGATATTGATTAAGCATTATGATTAAAGTCAAAATTCACTTATGATGCTTTTAACATTATTCTTGCTTTGGAAAATATGCTTTCCATTTCTATCCGAAATTAATGCTAACTTTTGCTTATAGTTGTCATGGGTTTCTTGCAGGTGGACCTTTACTCTAGTTACCGTTTATTTTGGGGTACATCTCTAGCTTTCTTCTTATAAGTATTCAGTTCAATCAGAAACAAAGTTGACCTTTGATGAATACGTATTGCATACATTGTATATATAGCTCATGATGCTAGGGCAAAAGCTTTCACAGAAAGCATAATTTCTTCAGTCTCAACATACTTGAATCTTACAGTTTGTACTTTTTTGTAGTGTGCATCTATGCTCTCTGTGTATGGGTGTCATCAGTTTCAAAAATCAAGAAGCAGCACCTTTAATTTTAGTTTTGCTGGAACAGATGCAGAGCAAGGGTCAAGCGCACCTCTCTTGCATCAGAATTCTACAAATCTATCACATGAAAATCGATTCATAGGCATTTTGAGTTATATTATGGAAGTTCTATTCCAGGTAGCTTGATTGCTTTGCTTTCCCTCATATTTGCTTGTTATTTCATATTGTCTATGTCTGTACTTCCTATACCTTTTAAGTGCGGCCTCATCTTTTATCCTTTCTTCCATCTCTTTCATTTTATCTCATCGTCGTCATCATCATCTTCTTCTTCATCTGCGAGTTAGAAGCATGCTTTTGCCTAGCTTGTTCAATTTATATGCTTAATTTTCTAAAATTATGCGCTCACCTTCCAAGTGCATGGATATTTCATTTAGTTTTCATTTATTTTTCTGCCTTTAACTATATATCTAAACAGACAAATGCAGGTGCAGTGATGCTTACAGATAGCGTATACTGGTGTGTTATATTCCCATTTCTTACCATCAGGGATTACGATTTAAGTTTTGTGAGTACTAAACCTTAAAGAGTGCTTTTACTCTTATACTTTCGTTGCTTTTGGTTTGCAATAGTGATTAATTGTTTGTTTTTATAAGTGTTTCATAAAGAATGTAGCAGGTCTTCAAACATAAAAAAACTAAAAGCATAATAATTTTTTTGAAGTTTTTTGTGGACAAAGATACCTGCAGTCAAATGTAGCATAACGGCATTTTATATATGTATCCGTTATTCTCCATTTTCAAGATTCATGTGATCATTTTGTTACTTGCCCTTGATGATTCAATCTGATCAATCTTCTCTCGTGTAGATGACGGTGAATATGCATACACTGAATGTTGTTTTGCTTCTTGGAGACACAGCTTTGAATTGCCTGGTGAATATTTTCAAAGCCTTTTCTCTCCTTGATTGGTATAATTGCTTAAGGCTGATGCTAAGTGTAACCTCCACCTTTCAGCAACTGCCCTGGTTTCGGATCTCTTTCTTTGTGCTATGGACTGGTGCTTTCGTCATTTTTCAGTGGATTCTTCATGCTTTTGTGTCAATTTGGTAACCTTCACTATCCTTCTTCGTGTCAGAGCCTCGAACACATTTAGGTATTTAAGGACAATATTGACAATCTTCTTGTTGCAGGTGGCCATATCCATTTCTTGATTTGTCATTACCCTACGCTCCATTGTGGTATGGGATCTCACTCGTTTCTTGAACATTTGCATATTGTCAATTCAAACGATATAACGTTACTAGTGCAAAGCAAGGTTATAGTACCTCTAGATATTGGCATATTTATTACCCAGTTGACAACCAGAGTTCCCCTTTTGCATGATGGCTGTACAGATTCAATATCTTAATATCTATCTCACTGGTACTTTTGGGCAAAAGGGTACTGCCTTATCATTAAGGTTTATTGTCAATGGCCATGTAAATTATTTTCTTTTTTGGGGGAAAAAAAAGTTGAAAGTGAAAACTTTGATTAGAACCAGTGATGAATTAACCTAAACAAAGGAACATTATCCAACAGAATTTCCAGTTTCTCTACTTCCCTTTTGTATTATAATCTTTACAATGCCTAATCCTATTGGTTTCTGGTGAATGGCAGGTACTTTGTGATGGCATTGATGCATATTCCATGTTATGGCATGTTTGTACTCATTGTTGATTTGAAACATTATTTTCTGTCAAAACGGTTCCCTTCCTCTCATCAATGCTAAGGATTGAGATTTTGAGAGTGTTTCTATGTTGAGCGCCTATAAAAGCACCTGCGGTTTGAGCTGTAGCAAAACTGAATTCAGCTTTCGTCACTGCGGAGTGCATGGCTGGGCTCTTTTACATACTCTTATACAACAAAGGATCATATAATCAAACAAATTGCCGCAATTGAGTCAATGTAATAATTGAAGCTTCCAAGAACTGAATTCAAAGGTTCTAGCAGAGCAACTAAGCAGACATTGAAGTTGAACATAATCCGGGGGAAAAAAATTGGATGATCCGCTTATTTTTTCTACTACTCCTCTTTCTTTATCGTCTCATTATAGTTGTCATTAGACTGAGAATAGGATGAACATGGGTACTTGTGAGAATTTGAAATATGTACGATGTTAAGAAAAAAAATATTTATTGCTATAATTTTTTTTTTTTGGGCAGCTGGGAAGCTAACCTAGCCGAGCATAGAAGTTGGTTTTTTCCTTAGAAAATACTATTTCATTTATATTTGACACTTCCCATTTTTCATAAATGACTGTTTCAGTTAAATCAGGAGAGGGAGCAAGAGTTTCAAGCTAAAGGATTAAATTGAAACCTCTTTCCCACCGAGCACATCTTTTTTTTACCTACAAAGTAGGTAAATAGTTTCAAAATCAGCGTTCGAAGGATCAACCTGAAATGCAATAATCAGAATTTGAATTACGAGACTTCGCATCTATTGCCAAGGATGACTCGGGGACTTGATATCCTTTGGTTTTTACTTCTTTCAGCAATCGTCTCACTGACACTCATCAGAATTTAAATATAAATACGATATTGCAGCGACTACAATAATAAAGTAAAGTCTAGAGTTTCAAGAGTTATATGAAACCCAAAGTACCAGAGTTTCAAGAGTTATATAAAACCCAAAGTACCACACAGCTGTTATATGTAACCCAAAGCACCAGACAGTGGAGCCTGTTCTTTATTATACAAGTTAACTGATCAGCTACATAATAGCTATGTTGCTCCTTTCAAGTAGAAGAAGCAGCAGCAAGAGCCCCAGCCGAAGTTAGCAACGATACCAACTTCCCTTGATTGTGCAATGCAGTTGTGGCTTCATAAAAGTAGCAAATTAACATTAACGATTATATGAAATCAAATTTAATATCATTAAACTTGTGTTTGCTTGAGCTAGGATCTTGTTAAATTAATGTCAGAGGAAGTTTGAAGAGAAAAGGATAGGGATGTGAGTCTTCACATTTGCCTTTCTTTATTCCTCTTTCTTTAAACTTCCTTTAAAATGTCTTAGAGGATCTGTTACAGAGTTTATTATCTATAAAGGAAGAAAAGAAAATTTTAATCTTACAATCACAGCCACCGATGTGGTTTCCTCCAATAAACACATTTGGCACTGTTCGTTGACCTGTCCACTCAGCTAATGCAGATTGAATCTCACTTCCATCACCTGCACCACGGCCAACCATTCTTATGAGCCGATTACCAGAACTGAACGGATAAAAAGGACAGCGCTTTTGAAGACTTGTAACAGCTATAGTTGAAAGCACAATAAATCCTCGTCATATTTATGTGTGAAAAGCAACGCTGAAAGTCACCTTCACAAGGCAAACTAGAATGCTTCTAACAAAAAGCAGGATTAAGACAGTTTACCCAATCATTCAGGGTCTAAAGTTGCTAGGGGTTCAAACGTGCAGAAATTATCCAGGTGCAACTAGCAATGTTGCTGTAACATGAGGAATCAAATATTTTATCTTAAGGGTTTGCACCTCTCAATGAATCCCCTCGATGACTCTTTTTGTCAAACAGGTATGCATTGCATAAAAACCATGATTACATGTTCTGTGGTTCTTCAACACCAACCTGATTTTTCATGAGGTAATTTCTTCAATGGAGAACTGCTAAACAGATTTTGGAAGAAGTGTGCACACAACCCTATTTTGTGGGCCTTGCCAAATGAACATCACAGATGCTAGATGAATTGAAGGAATGCATTCAACAGCGCTAGAAAGACAATAAATCCTTGAAAATATCGTGTATATTGGAACAGTTTGTGAGATTCAATGTCTTACACTGGAGACAATTACATAAGCTAATAAACAAGAAGCCTTCTTTCAATGCTCAAGATAATTGATTTGAATGACTTGAACCTCGACATGGGGCTTAATAGATAAAGA